CATTTATCCTCTTCACCAAAAGATCGGCTCGTTAGCCGCCCAGGCGATCGGTCCCGACCACCTGGTTCCGCCCTCCTCATCACCACTAGTCAAATCAATTACAGCCAACGTTGTTGCCATCAGAGGTGTGGCAAATTGTTCCCAAGACTTGCCACAATGAGGAATATCAAATTTTCACCACCTTCGAACAATTAATGTCCGTAGGTTGTTATTCAGCCTTTTTTTGGCATAGTGTGTAGTTATTTTCAGCTTTATTGCAAGTGGATAATCATAAAACAATACAGCATTATAGATGTCTTTAATCTTACATTAATGTAGCTATCATTAGTCAGCTACATTTATATTAAACAAATACGGTACAATATAATGCAACTGTTGCTTACAAGTACAATTTTATATATGTCATATGTACTGTATTTACATGTACAATATACTGATGAAACAATTTATTAAAAGAACATTCTGGTACAGTACTTGTTATTTCATATCTGGCTGAATAAAAACATTTACTATATATACTAAGCATTCTCTTTGTATGTGCATTTCTTATTTCTTCATGTCAAAAGAATCATGGCTGAATCATGTTGAGCTCTACACTACAGTGAACATCTATACTTTACATGTCAGACAGAAAAAATAGTAATGGTCTTCTCTAAAAAGATCTTTATCTTTTCAACTGTAGCAGCAAACAATAAAACATGCATGTATGGCCTACCCTGTTATTAAAGTACTGTACAAATCACAACAATCTTTAAACAGTTCATGACAAAAACATACAGTTACTACACTTCTTGTGGATCATTGCAAGTTACATATATCTGACAATGAACATTAAATTTATCTACATATACATATGAGTAAATGTCCATTCTTCTAATGTTTTTAACTCAGGTCCAAGCTACTAATATCTACATCTGTAAGTGACAACTACCAGCACATTCTTGTGGGACAGAGGGGGAGGTGTTGTTAACAAGGCATAACTGCATTGTGGGGATAACAGACAATTATTCTCGTCTTGTTTTTGAGTGAAAAATTTTCTCAAAATTCTGCCTAAGGAAAGGTTTTGGAGTGCATGCAAACTTGATCTAAGACCAACAGCTAAAAAGTGCAAATGTAGTTATCGGGGGAAACTACCACCAGACAAACTGACAGACAATAAGCACTTAACAGTACGGTACTGTATAGATTTGTAAACACCCAATATAATGTAGAATGAGAGGAGCTATTTGTAAGACATTACCTTAATATAAGGTAGAGAATATCTAATTACTGTACATATTATGAAAATTCTATCGAAGGATGTGGGAGTTTTCACTTTAATACATGACCTTGTCTTAAGTACACCAGATGTCTTAACATTACCTGTCTTCTACTCTTATAGATATGATACAACATACTGTACTATATTTCCAAAACAATTGATAAGTATTAGTCCAAAGGTAAAACGATTTAAGATGATTTTCTGTAAAATGTAGATATGATCTGTACAATGTTATGCCATTGTAAATGTTTTACACTACACCACCAACATAAATTAGAAAAAAATACTGCTTGAAATACACTGTACTGCAGATAATGTATTGTGTACTAATAAACAAAGAGTACAGGAAGGAAATATGCAGGATACTTAAGTTGTAAAAAGTATTAAAGTTACAACAATAAAGCCAAGGGTATTATGAATCAGTTCAGTAACCTTCCCAATATTCACTGACAAGTTCCTGGATGACCTGTGGCTACAGGAATCCCAAAATATTTTATTAATGTAAATTATAAGGAAAATTAGGTTAGTACTGTGTTGCTTTATGTGATAATAATAATACAGGTACTCCCTTTATAATACTGGACAATACAGTACAGTGCATACTGTATATTATAAGAAACCCTCCAAAAACAAAAATTAAATCCGATACAAACCACTATTGTGCCTGGACAGTGGCAGTCACTCAACACTAGTGCAAAGTTGAGAGCCATTAGATCGGGTAGTTGTTGCTGGCAGATGAGTGGTTACAGTACAGTTGGTCCTCATATTATGCGGTCCCGCATTCCGCGTTTCACCGTTAACGCGGTGCCTTGCCAGAACCTAACATTTTCACATTCCGCGGTCGTGAACCCCATTACGCGGAGAGCGGCTGGCAAGCCGCGCCATTTTTGGATCCAAACCTCCCGCCATCCGCCATGTTGTGTAAGAGGCGCGAAAATGGTGCGCACAAGGTCACCCAGTCATCAAAGCATGACCAGTTCTTCACCCGCCACCCACTACAGCCGGCCCAAGTCAGTGATAGTGATAATTATAGTGAGGATATGGACTTATATGAACTTTGGGGGGTTTGACAAAGAGGCCCTGCAAGCCTCTGTGGTGGATAGTGATACAATTGATACAAGTGATACAGGTGAGGGCCAATAATCTGCCCTCTGCCTCGGAACCAACCGCCCATCCCCGTGTGCCCAGCCATCTTTTCTACTAATGTAAGTGTTAAAAAACCTAATATTATTGATATTTCTCTTAATTATTAATTGTGTGTGCATGCCATCATAAAGTTAAGATAATATTTTTACTACAACATAGTTGTGTGTCGTCAAAAAGTGGAGTTTGGGGATCGGCCCGGACTCCATTTCAATTAATCCCATATGTTATGTTATTCACTTTACGCGTTTCTCACTTTCCGCGGTACCCTCCGGGTTACATTAACCGCGTAATATGAGGACCAACTGTACTTTAATACTTTCTCGGCCCTTTGTGCCGGGGCGCTCCTGCTTAACACAATTGCTCAAGGTATTGGATATTTGGACCACATTCTGGAACAGGGTGGTAATATCGACAATATTTACCTAGAATTTGCCAAGTGTACCCCACGAAAGGTTGAAAATCAAACTGGAAGGGTACGGAATTCGGGGAAATGTCCTAGCGTGGATAGAAGACTTTCTACATGACCGCAAGCAGTGTGTGGTGATTAATGGCACGAAATCATCATCCGTACCTGTCATAAGTGGGGTACCACAGGGCAGTGTATTGGGCCCACTGTTCTTTGTTTGTTTCATAAATGACATGCCTGATGTTCTACACTCCTCCATACAAATGTTTGCCGATGACGCCAAGTTATTTCGGGAAATCAAGAACCAAGCGGACTGTGAAGAGCTGCAGAAGGACCTCTGTGGGCTCCAAGAATGGTCGAAGAAATGGCTGCTGAGATTCAATGTTACAAAATGTAAGAGGATGCACCTGGGGCGTACCACCGGTAAGGAGGCCTATCATATGTCCCAACGGGATGAAGAAACTGCACTATTTGAGACTGAATGTGAGAAGGAATGAGGTGTGTATGTTGACAATGAGCTGAAGTTCTCGGGCCATTGCGAGAAGAAGGTAAATCAGGCAAATAAATTATTGGGTCTTATAAGAAGGTCGTTCAGATATCTAGACAGTCAGTCCCTCGTAACAATCTTCAAGAGTGAAGTGCTTCCCCATCTGGAGTACTGTCACCCTGTCTGGTCCCAGAGATATGCTAGGGACTGTCAGTTGATTGAAAATGTTCAAAGGAGGGCCACCAGACTGGTGCCTGCACTTCGGCACCTCAGCTACCCTGAGAAATTGGAGCGCCTGAACCTGCCCAGCTTATACTACAGACGGGCAAGGGGGTGACCTAATTGAGGTGTACAAGCATCTCAAGGGACACTACTCAGTCGAGTGTCCTTACTTGGAGCTGGCGGACGCTCGCCCCACAAGGGGTCACAGCTCAAGATTGAAGAAGCCGCAAGTTCAGAAAACTGTGAGGGCAAACTTCTTCGGAGTGAGGGTTGTAAACTCTTGGAACAATCTACCAGAAAATGTTGTGACGGCACCGAGTGTGAGCCTTTTCAAGAAAAGACTTGACCAACACTGGAGTGGGTTTAGGTACATTCAGGAGCCGGTGCATGCCCAGTACTTGCCAACAGTGCATAACAGAGACGTGACCGATCGCCCAAGCGGCTAACGAGCCGATCTTTTGGTGAAGGGGATAAAAGAAAAGAATAAGTAATCAGAGACGTGACCGATCGCCCAAGCGGCTAACGAGCCGATCAGTGGTGAAGAGGATAAAAGAAAAGGATAAGTAACTGGAGACGTGACCGATCGCTCAAGCGGCTAACTGACATTCACCATTCTAAGATTTGCAAGGTGTGAAAGCTCCATGTTTTCATCTATGATTCAATATTAAGCTTTTTTTACTGATGTGTTCTGTTATCTTCAGGTAAAAACTAAGAGCAGTAATAAGACAGAGAGAAGAATGAGAACCATTCTCAACTTCCCAGTCCAGGAATTCCTGTATGAAGGGTAGGATCTCTCCAGGTTCAACCATGACGCATATAAATAAGGGGTAGCAACGATGAACCAGCTAAATGAAGACTGAGCTGTCACTGTGCATGCTCCCCATGAACCAAGCTGGCTACAAAAGGGGTCCCCAGGCTCAACACTTCAGTTCCCAGCTCCTCAACATTCCTTAGGAAGAAGGGATGATCCATATCACCATATTCAAGCTTGTTATAAAATAAGACTTCAGGATCCATCTTTCATTCAAAAGTGATATAGTGGATTAGACATCACATGAACTATCAAGTCTTTCAGTAATGGCAGAAAGATGGAGTCATGAATCCCTTTATCCCAAGAAACAGAGTAAAGGACACCAGAGGTTAGCAAGTGCCCTGTGGCTACCTATGCAAAGGAATTGTCAAGCTAACCTGAGATGGACATCTCATAGGACTGCCTCCAGGAAAAAGTCTTTAGAAAGGCCAATGGTCAACAATCATCATAACCAACAATTTATGGCCATTTTCCATATTTGCATGGTTTACTGTACTGCCTGAGGGCAACTCTTCATGTTGTATGGTCTTTTACAGCCTGTGTTGTTAGGTTCTTAACTCTAATATCCCTTCTTACAACTTCATCATGTTTTTTTGGAATACCCACAGTCCTCCTCCACTCCACATTAGACTCGTGCATCTCTTGATCCAATTGGTTCCCCCCATTCTCTACATATGCCTGAACCATCTGAGCCTACTTTCATGTAAAACTTTGCCAATAATGTTCTACAGTGTACTCTCACTTCCCAGCCACCTTCTTAGCTCTGAACAGGGTTTCCAATTTTTCAGTGTCATGTTACTCATCTATTTCACCATTTAAATAACTCTTGCAATATACAGTATAAACAACATGGGCAATAATGGCTTCCTGTGTGGCCAAGCCTTTAAATGTAAAATGCTAAAAAATAGGCAAACAGTATTTAGCTCCTGCTATAAGATGTGGCTTCAGTGGCAACAATGGCTGCAACTATAAGTAATGGAATGATAGCTTATGTCTGAGTGAAGTGACAGGTGTGGACATCACATACTGACATAATGACACTCAGTGGTGACTGTTCTTTCTAAAGATCCCCCTTTTGGGGACCTGGTTATGAGATGACAGAAGACAGCACTGTAATGAATTCATGTATTACAGTATTTGCCTCACTAATGTCTAAAGGTTCATCAATATAACCTGTAGGTAAATTGGTTATACATATGCATGAGCTGCTTGGATCATAATGTGTGTACATTACCAATCCCTTAAGAACAGTTCACACTAAATTTTTTATAATCCCAAGTCATTAAAGGGTAGCTTAAGCATATTTATAGAGTCCAACTGATAAAGAGGCACAAATCAGGAAGTCTTGTTTATATTTTGTATCAAAATGAATGGGAAAATAAAATTAGAAGTTAATTGAAGTACTGTAGAGTAAGTTAATGAAATGGAAATATGGCATCCTCTGTTATTTTAAAATTTACCATTCACAGTTTTGACTATTCCTGAATAGCATCTGGAAGTATAATAGGGGTAGTTGGTATTTTACTGTTAAACTGTACATGATTACATCTCAGAACTTCTTGAAGCTTCCAAAGCAACTTTGGCATTTGACACACAATAGGCTACATATCCAGAGACATACTGTCTTTGTTGCACGTTCACAACACTCATGATTCAAATTCCTTAATTAATTTAATGTTATTCTTGCAGTGATAAAGCTGGTAAATTGCCAAAGAATGAAATAAATAAATAGATGCAAATACAGCATACCAGATACATTTTACAAAACAAATGAAAGATATGTGCATAATCTTCATCTCACCCTGCATCAGCTAACCACCACCTCCATGTATGTAATAAATGTAAAAATGCATAAAAGAATTACAGTACAGTATATAAATTGTGGTATTGAGTGTTGCTATATATTATGAGGATAGCACATTTCCTCCTCTCACTGCTGTAGGTCACCTGTTGTTCCTTCACCAAGTTCATGCATTTCTTTTAATATATAATTTCTCCTCCTTCACTGTTTCTTGATACAATGTGTTCTTGGTGAAACACTGGCTGATATTTTTTGCACTCATTATACACAATTTTCAACATATGTAAAAAATTCTCACTAAAACCATCTTAACATCGAGATGGTTCTAGTTGAGCACGAGTAATACGAATGTTTTTTTCTTATGTACTTTAACCTCATGTATGGGATCCCCTCTGTGCTGAATAAAATCGTCTGGCATAGAGCCAAATAAAGTATTAAAAGTACAGGTAGTCTCCCCTGTAGCGAAGGGGTTAAAATATGAAAAACATTAAAAATTTTAGGGAACTTGAAAATATAACCTATATGGACAATTTTAAGACAGTTTACAGACATTATATCTTCGTTCTCCATCCCCGACTCCTCAACGTAACTTTAGATAAATTAAACTACACTGTAAACTTATACTTCTTCTTGTGCTGTATTGATATAATTTTAATTTGTTAAATTGATTCTTTGGTGTTATGGTGATGATTACCATGTATTACATCGTTTATTTCAGCATTAAAAGGGTAGGTTTATGGAAACGAAAAATGGTACTGTACAATATTTACAAATTTTGCTATTTGCAAGGGCTTCTGCAAGCTATCTATCCTGAATAATAAGGGATAGGTGTATGATGAAAAACTGCACAGATGCCTTACAAGAACAATAAAGAGAACATTAGACAGCAGTCAGCTATCACAAGCTCCTCGTTGTGTGAGGCTTTATTAGTGGTCCGGGTCACTGTGCCTCTTTAAATTACCTTTTGAGGGTAAGTGATCAATACTGATCACCCTTTGACACAGGTGATTTGCTCTTTGTTCTTCATGATATTTACAGACCCTCTTTAATCTTCACATTCCAAGAAGGGTCCACTGACCAGACCATAAAGTCATTCAGAAGGAAGGTTTCTGTTGTTTCCTCATCATCTTCAAAAAAAGTTGAGAACATTATTTGTTCATCTTATGATGAATGACTTGAGGGTGCTTTTGACCGAGAGTTCTTTCCCTCTACACTAACACTGTTCTTGCAGTGAGTGTCAGGTTTCTGACCATGACACACTTGTTGTCATCATTTCTTTAAGAGTACTGTACATACCAAAAATGTGTCTTTCAAGGCACTGAGCACTACTTCTGCCAAATCATAGTACTGTATGGATACAATGTTAGATGTGGAATCATCATAAATTTGTTATTTGGGGCTCTAACAGCTAGCAGAGCTTCAGTGCAAAACCTGGCATATGAGGGACACAAATGGACTCAGGTTGGTGATATACAGTTCACTGCACCACATAAATGGCCTCGACCATCTACCAGGGAAATTTTTAGTCTTACTAGTATATATATATACGTACTAGTAATGTAAGATTTTTCTACCCATCTCCAAGTTCTTTCACCTGCCTTACAATTTAAACTTTGTACAGTACAGTACATGCAAGACATTAAGAGGGACAATTCAAAATCAGACAGATGTCAGATAACAAAAATCAAGTGATATGTCTACACTACAGCCAAAGACATCTCTTTGTATTATATATTATACTATATAAAATTTATTGCTCTGCTAGTCATGACACTGGATTACCAAACTCACTAGTAGATGCAAAGCTGCCATTAAGTTGAAAAGTTTATTTAATAAGGTAAAGTTGAATACTTTGAGCCATGAAAACTACTGAATAAATATTATTAATAAAAACAAAAATTTGGTGTATAACAAATTTATAATTATACAGTATTGCTCTTTATATAATCAACATACAGGGCTGGTCCCTGATTCACCTTACTGAGGCACTAATAACATAGACCCTTTCCTCCCCGGGAAAGTACACTCCTGTTTATGGAGGAGTGAGACTTTGTAAACTACAGGAGTCAAATTTATTTTAAATAATCATATAACCGTTTTGGTAAATAATTCATAAAGTTACAGTTAAATTCAATTAAGTTAATATTTATTCCTGTAAATATATATTGGAAATACTGTTATATGTTAATACAGTACCACTGTAACACTGGGATTCATTTCTTATCTCATCTTAAACAACTACAGTACATTCACTTTTGGAAGAGATGAATACCTGTCTGGCAGTTGGGTCTACAAAAATACAGTAAGGAAAATAAATACAGTATACTGAAATGTATTGACCCTCATTATAGGTACAGTACTCCCAAGTCTGACATATTCTTCATTTAATTTTAACTGCTTTGCCTTTGACATGTGACGTAAAACTGTCATGACAATACATCCACTTTGATAGCAAAAACAAAATGGCTGACTAATACCTGAGCTGAAAGAATGCATTTTAGTTCAATGTGGAGCTTCACATTATAAACATTCCCTCACACAAACATCAGTGTTCATGCAAGTTAACTACAGTTATAAATGCATTACATAAATGAAAGTGTAAAGAGATGAGTGCACATCGCTTATGATCTTACACACCGGTTCAGTATATTTACTAGAATCCCAAATATAGTACATGTATTACACAACACATTTGAAGCTTAAATGCAATAGTTTCATTCAACTTTCTAATGGATACACCACTAACAGCATAGGGATTCACTTCAAATTTATTAACAATTTTACCCACAATGTGGCTCTAGATTGAACATGCTAAATAAAATATATCATTTATGACAAAACATATTACCCTGAAATAGTGAATTTCACTGAAACCTGTTGTCACTTTAGAATTCAAGATGTTGAAAATGAGATCTACAACTACACCACTGAAATATCTGGATATATTAGTATACAAAGTGCATGAGAAAGACATTTGAAGAAGAGACTCACTGGAAGCATTGTATCCTTTAGTCTGTTATCAGAATATATTAAAAATAGACCAACCATTACTTATTGAATAAACCATAGTTAACTACAACTTCTTATTTTTAAATTACAGTAAAAATTTACATAAAACCTTTGTGAAACTGTTCTAAATATAAATTACTATTGGAACTTGTGCAGTATTGTACAGCAATGATATTCATAGCTCTGGCTATAGCAATTATCATCAAGCACAGTACAGTATATGTAAAGTTGTGCAGTGTTAGCAAAGATTCTAATAACAATGAAGCTCAGTTTAATCCATGTTAGTATTTTGTAAGACTTGTACTGTCCAGCTGAGAGCCTGTGTTCAATAATTACCATGAATAATCATACGAAACTGTGACAAACAGAAGAACCTCTCTAGTTCACACAACTCGGGGAATAACAGGATGGTGAAAGTATTGATTTTGTGAATCAACAAGTGACTTATATGATGAGTACAATGGACACTGGGACCTTGCACCCAAAATCCCAGGTATGTACAGACATGGAAAAAAGTCCTGTCAGTCTTCCGTGAGCCCTGAGACTCGTGAACCTGTAAATCCGAGACATCGCACAATATGCCATCTATATACAGTACAGTATCATCTTGGGAGACAATTGACCTCATATGGGTCTTGCTAATACTGTACAGGTATACACATGTATGGTAGGATGGTGTTCATTCTCTACTATCAAGGAATTATAAATACAGAGTATAGACAATTATACTCAGACAAAATGCTCAAAGTATATGTATCCCTCACCCCTGACAAAAATAACCAATTAATATTCAGTCATATAATTGTTGTTGTAAAATTTGTCTTTTAATCCCTTGTATCCAAGTGTGTGTGTGTGTGTGTCTCACATCTAATAGAATATTAGAAGAGGTGACCTGTAGTGAAGGGATAATTTGTTTTTGAAATATGTGAATTACTAGGATTTTTGCCAAACTTGATGTCAAGAATAATTGATATTCAGTCAATTTGATCATAGACTGCTGACAAAGCCATGAGAGGCTTGTTTCCAGTAGAGTCCTTATGCCAGTAGAATTTGGTGTTCTTAGGGCCAGGTGGTTGCATGTATATTATGTATGTTGTATGTGTACTCTGTATATACCCCATTTATATACATTACTTATCTAGTCAGTAGTGTGTGGCAATGCCCTTTATCATGTCCCACACGCTTAGATAATGTGCCTGGTGACATCTGGAAGCTGCTAATGTATCACTTGCCACATGTCGCCTGAGAGGTCAGAGAGAGGTCAGTTGACCCATAGAGAGTGTAGGGACTGCCAGCGCTTGTAGCGCACCTCTGTATATTCCGTCAAATAGAGCCTACAAAACTCTACAGGTGTTTGTCTTCGCTCCTGTAGTTAGAACTGAGTACCCAGAACCCCTACAGTGGTCACACATCGAAGTACTAACCAGACCCAACGTTGCTTAACTCCGCTGATAGGAAAAGAAGTGGTGTTACAAACGTGGTACTACTGTATGTAAGTGATGTTGACATGAAGTACAAGTATTCCATTTTGTGAACAGGGGTGTCATTTGGGGGGTGAGGGGGGGGCACTCGCCCTCCCCAAGGTTTCCATGGGGGGCCTCCAAATGAGCCATAATAAATTTATAAATCCATGAACAGGGTCCAGATGTTAACTTTGCCCCCCCCCCCACCCCAAGGAAAAATTAATGATGCTCCCATTTATGAAGTAACAATTAGTGAACATTAGAGGTTCTTTGTATATATCAAAGAAGATTTTGTTAAAGTAAATACTCTACTCCTGAAGTTGTTCATCACTGATATATTATTCCCAATACTGTATCATTACAATATACATTAGTAATAGAGTACAGTACAGTACTTGCCTTACATATGGATGAACATGGGTTTAGTTCCCAACTGGAGGGAATAATTGAGTTCCCTCACTGTTCCCTAGTTGAATGCACAAGGAAACAACTTAAACCTACACTGAGCCCGTGACATTTACTTGCGTGGTTAACATTCTACCACCATTGAGCTTTGTAGACTAAAATCAACTTTGTATTGCTAATATCTCACAAAGGTAAAATAAACTAAAAACAATACATGAAAATACACAATATTATCATTGAACTGAATGATTAAGTAAAGCTCTAAGTATATTAAGATTACTTACCTATACAGTTAATAAGCTTATTAAATAAGAATACTGTACATGCTGGATCTTTAATTAAGATAACTTAAGTTAGTATTAACATTACCTGGATGAGTTACTACACTTGGCGTTCTACTACTTACTATAAAAAGACAACTACGTGGCATGGCTCCACTACTCTACTCAATTCTACCACAAAATAAGATGAACTTATATGATTTTCATAAAAAAATTAGTATTGTACTTATCTGTCACTTATATAATAAGGAGTTCTTTTGTATTACAAGTAAATTATCACTTATAATTACTGTACATCACACTATTCTGTTCACTGAGGCACCTGGACTATAAACACAAAATACAGTAACAAATCAAGAAATTGTTATACACAAGTCATAAACCTACACTCTCTTTAATACTGACAATGTAGCTTCTCACTGAATATTAATGATATAACCTCACTGACTATAATTCACGACTAGAATTGTGCTAATAAAATACCAAACCTTCATCATCTTGGCGTACGGCTTGAAAATCATTTCCGACAAGCATCCCGAAATGAGGCAGCATTAAATTCTTTGAAATAGAGTTCTGGTCTGATATATGTCTCCAATTTATTCACACTGCACAGACTTATAGTTCCTCGCTTCACACTTCCAGATTTAAGCTGTTTTATAGTGATACTATCACAAAATGGAATGGACTTTGTGATGTCTTTTCCATTGTAAACAAATCTAAAGAAGTAACTTGTGCGATAGTCTGAAGTCTGTGTGACAGAAGAGTTGCGATACAGTTCTAACACCAAACGAGAAGCATAGTATGGAAGCTGATAGTTGGGAATAGCAAGACTGTCAAGTAAATACTTAAGGGTTTTGTCATGGCCTGAATAAATTACTACACGAGGTTTAGCATCTCCAATCATTCCATCCATGGTGGCCACAATATTTTTCAACAGTCCATAGGATCTCAATTTTGCAGCCTTACGCTGTGCAGAGGTACGCTTTTGTTTCCCTTCCCATTCTTCATAAGCTATAAGACTGGTTACATCTTCCACCTTTACACAGTTCCCATCATTACAAGGCAATGCAGCACCATGGCAGACATAAGATAGGAGTGCATCGCGCATTACCAGTGGATTAACAATGTCCTCAGCCACTGGATTTGCCTTAATCAGCGGATTAATTCTACGAACGAGATCAATTACGCCAGGGTGGGATTTACGGTAATCCTTACGTTCCTGATCATATTTCTGATCAAAATAATCAGTTTTCTCACAGCGGCAATCATTCTCACAAAAACTAACTCCTTTCCCTTCACGCATCCGAATTTTAGAGATATCAAAATCTGGTATGAACGAATATAAAAAACTTAGAACACTCTGGAATGTACGTCGATACTTTGTGCTGTAAACAATAATATCATCTAATTCTTGCTTGTTACCCAAAAGATTGAATTCAAAGAAATATATCTCTTTCAATATCTTCCCAAGCTGCAAATGCTGAAGAACCCCCTGAGGAGTGAGGTGCCCAATACCACACTTGGATGGCAATGGCAGCAATGGATACTTCATGAATGGCCCAACAAAATTAATGTAAGTATTGGTCTTAGAGACATTTAGGATATCCGTAACATACTTCTTATAAACTTGTGTTCCATAGCTTTTGTGACCACAGTTAATACTAGAGAGGTTCCTTACGTGCAGCAGGGGTCCCCTATCACCGTGGCGGAGGACAACCATTACCCCGCTAAGTTCATACTGCGGGGGTAACACACCTGCAAATACACATAAGTCAGTACCTATCATATGAACATACCATAAAATATAACATGTAATTTGCATTCTTCAAAGTTTAATAGCAATAATAAAATCAAACACAAATTGCAATTCACTTTGGCACCACACAATAATCTAGACTGCTATGGGTAAGAATGAAGATAGTAACCTGTAAAATGCCATGTATGATAGTAAGGAGGAGCAAAGGAGAAGATTCTAGAATATATCAGAAGTGTACCAGGCAGCAGTAAAGGATGGAGAGATTATAGTATAACTTTTGGTAATATTAAAAGTTAAGGTGGAGAATAGTGATGAAGGCAATGAATTCTTGGTTGATGGTGGGAGAGCTTTACTGTGTACTATACCATTAGTAGGTGTTTAGTATGATAAGGGCGAACTAGCCAAATCAATGTTTTGAGTAATCGCTGCCTTTCAAAATGTGGGGCCACATGTATATTGCAGCCCTCATAACTAATGGTGATTTACTTGTGGATATGGGTAAACTTCCACTCTGGAAACCTCACCATCACATAGAGAATAGATTATATTTTCTGGTACCATAGAAAATGGCTTTTCGAAAAGAGCAAGTTCGTCATTCTCCAAGTGAATGCCTAATATGAGTTATTACACTTACAAGTAACTTTTAAACAAACAACCGGTCATCAGTATACACAGCCAAACTAGTGAAGTAATGTGATAACCATGGTATGATACAGAATGGAACATGAATACCTTGACATGGTGTGTGTATAAACAGGGTGGCACAATCACAGGTGGCCTATGCTTTATGCAAATGTTGTGTTTTGTGTTTCAATAAAAAAGTTTGCATAGTGTTTATTTAATAGGGATGTAATCCAGAACCTCTATGGGCTCCTCCCTAAGTAGGTTTTCAAGGTACAGTATGAAGTTGTAGGTATGTGAGGGTTGTCAAAATCCTTAATCCGTTGTGTCATATTTTCTCACAAAATATAGATATTTTTGGAGCGAGTGAACAATATAATTAGAAGGAAAACTTAGAACTTGTGGTACTGTACAGCAATAACATATTAACCTTCCTGGTGCCTCTGTATGCGGTCAGGTGGATTGCACTGGTGTCGCAACTTCTTACTTCTTGGTTTCTCTTGCAACAGTGAGCTTGACACTGGCTGTGACCCACTGTTGACTTTGAGGGGAGGAGGAGGGTGAGCAGTGTCTGACTCCACTCTCCAATATGACACTGTAAATAAATTTAAAGCAGTTTTCTAATTTCTACAATATGAACTAACACCCTACACTGTTTCTTACTACTGTACTGTATATAGTGTAGTAAAAAATAAAAAAATAAAATAAATATATTAAATAAGTACCCGGTAAAATAATATCAACCATGTTAAATGTTGCCACATATCTTTGTGTTTGCCTCCAACCATTCATACTAAATTCTACTTTATCAATTCTCAATTTAAGAATTTCTCACACCTCCATGTCATCCCTGCAACCTACAATGCCCACTGTCCTAATAATAACCATAGTTCTCTTCTTTAAAGTTAATATTACACAGATCCAACCTTCAATAGTGCAGTATAGTAGTATCTCTAAGACAAGGATGTGCTACACCTGTCTTGACCATCTCAACACTCACCTTTTAAATTCTCTCTTTATTACTCAAAGAATCTACCAAAAAGGAGTCCTTATAATGTGGTGGTGCGGTAAAGTGATAATTTGAATGTTGAATTATGTCTTGTTCTGTCTCGAGTGAAGAGTCCACATTCCCGATCAACCTGGTACAGTATCTACCCTGCCTGGTCGAGAGCTAATGGAAATGTAGTCATGGACAAAAGTTCCCTCCATGTGGTGAAACTGAGTCATGGGATTGAGTCTCCAAACTTACGTGTAACCCTGACCTTCATCTGGTGCGGGAGTGCTGTTTTATTTCAGTTGGGGTTGATGCCACTTCAGTTTGGGAGGGAGCAAACTTTTGAACCCAAATGTACAGTAAAATGATTGAGACTGAGAAAAATCATATTCATTCATGAAGTGTTCGGATTATCAAGTGTCCTGGTACAGTATTAAGGTGCCATTATACAGTACTGTAGTTAAAAATGGTGCTGTACAATGGCATTTGTTAGATCTCATTAAAAGAAAAAAAAATCAGATACCATACTGTACAGTACTTACAGAAGAGCAGTATTATTCCCAGCCATCCAAGAATAAGTATGTAACAACGAAGTACTTTGAACTTCTTATGCCATCTCATGTTGTATCCCCTGAATGACACCGCCGTGGGCGGGGAAAATCTGGATAGTCTTAAAGATTCTGTCCAGTTTAACCTGTGAAAGAAAGCAAGGAGTGAATTAAAATGTTGACATACACATATAAAAACATCTTGCAAAAAATACAGAAACCTGTACACTAAAGCTATAACTAACATATTTTAATGGCAATTGTATGAAAAATAGTGCCAAGTGACTGAAAATGCCAAAAGGAAGGCCATCAAACTGGTGCCAGCACTCAGACACCTCAATTACTGAGAGAGTCTGAAATATTTATAATTGCAAAGGGCATTTTATTGGAAATTTATGAGCACCTAAGCATATTACAGTATAGTACTTGGTCAAAAGTAACGGATAAATATCTAGAATAAGAGGCTGGCCACTGCACTCAAGGTTACAGCCTCCAGTCAAAAAAGCTATCTGTACTTTTACTGAAAACTGTCAGAACTAAATCACTAAACTCATGGAATAAGCTACCAGAAAATGTTAAAACAGCATGAAGTGTGAACTCCCATATGTCCCCAGACTAGACATTTTTGACACTTGTGTGGGTTACCTGTTATTACAGTACCTGAAGGCAAGGAGTCCTGGTGGTTATCAGGTTCGCTACTCTTCCTATCACCAACTCACTTCTACACACTGGGAACTGGACATTATATGTAGGACTTCTAAGCCCACTTCTTAGCAGGCAAGGAAGGGTTGTAACTTCTTGGGGGTAAACAAGACTACCCGCTTGTCTTTATAGTGATCGTGAGTCACATAAATGAATATGCTACAGTTTCATAATTATTTAAATATAATGAAATATTATTAACAAGCAGAGGCGCACAAAGTACTGGGAAATGCTACTTAAGAGCGCTCAGGTTCTCAACTGGCTCAGCCATGTTAATATTGTTATTATTATCCACTCTGTATCTGTATTTTTCTGGCTAAATAAAATGTTTCAATTCAAATTCAATTTCTACAGTAAAAGTTACTAATCATTTAAATTCTAAGGGCATCTACTGTATATCATTTCCTTCCCTAAAAGTCTCCAAACCACAAAATGCAAATAACTGCATAAATAAAAGTCAGATTCAAAAAAATACCGGGTATATATATAAACTAATACTCATAACATTACACTCAGATACTAACAGAGAGCACAGTAACACAACTCAATAACAGCGGTAACCTCCCATATTGTCTACTGCACTGTACCCTGTACAGTGGTCCCTCAGTTAACGAGCACAATCCGTTCCAGCAGGCTGCTTGTTAACCGAAAAACTCGTTAATCGAAACCATTGTTTCAACGGGTTTTTGGGTAATTGGTTCCAGCTCACCGAAAATTGCCTAAATTCAACAAAAAAGGTAGAAAAGTACACTTACTTTGAGGTGTGTATGTAGAAGGCTCCTGGATGATGATGATGATGGAATTAGAATGGGGGTTGGAGGGAAGAGAAGGCATTGGGGTGGAAGAGAAGTCACCCCATGGCACCATTTCACCCATAAAATTTTAGTTCTCTTGGTGTAATTCAAGATTATTTTCTTTAAATCAACACTGCACTGCATTATATATTCTCAATATGTAAAATATATTTCAAAATGACCAATAATTTGCTTGGAAACACAGAAAAAAGCGTTTAGTTGAAGAGTCTCAAGCAAGATGTTACCTCCACTGAAAACAGAGAGACTAATGCCTGTCTGGTGTGTTAACAGGCTGGATGGCACGCCAGAAACTAGTTTCTTTACCTTCAATTATGTTCAATAATTGTTAAAATGACTAAAAAAGTTAATATTAAACTTTTAAAATTATTGAATAGTATAAACTTCTTGATAGTTACTAAAATAGTAAGGAATTTAAGCCCTAAAACCGATTACTGTATTGGCAGACTAATACTACAGCTGGTGGACCGCCAAATGCAAGCGAAAACATGTTGAAGTCGGCTCGTAAAAAACTCGTTAATCGAGGGATTGCTCGTTACCCGAAGTTAAGAATCTTATGGAAGGTAAATCGTTAACCGAGGCGCTCGTTAACCGAGGGATCACTGTACTCCCATCATGTTTACTCTGAAGATAACATGTCTATTCTGCAGACAACACGAATAAATCATAAAAGAGAAAATTACATATAAAGTAATTGAAAAGCAAACTGTACATTATTATAATTACTTGTAATAAGCATACAGTCATAGGCCACTCATACAAAAATTACAGCTCATATAATTAAAAAGTATATTCAGTACTGTGTTGATAGGATGCTGATACAGGCCACAGAATCTATGAAGTCACTAACTTCATTGACATCATGTGCATGAAGGCCCATTGCTAAGGTACAGCAAAATGGGGCAACCACCCAGGGCCCCAAACTGGAAGGGGGGGGGGGGATCCTCTAGCAGGGGCACAGTCAACTTCAGTGAACACCAAGATTAGTGACTGTACCCACACTCACAGACTCGAGACAATGTAGTCATTCTTAATTAAGCTCTTGATTGACAGGGCATCTGCACACCACCACCAACACTGTATGAATGAATGAACAAACTGGCAGGAAAGTGCCGTGTTACTGTGACTGGGTGGTAATATATCATGCATCTTTTATTATGTTTTGATTACTTTTTCCAAATTCAGCCCGTGGTGGATACTTCCAAATGTAACGAGTTGACCTGTACAGGAGCAACAAAGTAAAACTACTTATGTAAGCTGAAAAGTAATCAAGTAAATGTACGCTGAAAATGTAAAGTATTTTTAAGTACTGTACTGTATGCAATATTCTGCATAGAGTTGGCATGTTTAGAGCTGTTTTACTACAGGGCTCTTTGTCCTGGAGAATTTCTTTTAACTTAAAAAAATATCAGTTACTTGATTGTAATTGTATTTGCCAGTTAAAAATAAGCAAACTCTCAGGTTTTCCAAAGCTTTAAGTAAAATGGATGTACAGGGTAAACAATATACTGTATGTGATACAAGTTAATATACATTTAATTACAAAAAAAAAAAAATACAACCATAAATTCCATAATACAGCAACAAATACATAGGAATACATCGGGAAAACCACAAAGATTTTCAGCATAACAAATCAATGGTAGTTAAATGTTTTACTCAATCTTACACACAATAAGGCACTATGGGCTGCACATCATGTATGGCCAAATATGGTCCAAGAGCCGCCGATTGTGAATCCATGATCTAGATTGTGACATGAGGTAAGGTAACTCACTTTACTTGAACTCTTAACTTAATCAGTTGACCATACCCTCCCAACAAACTTGAAATTTAATAAAACAAATCTGTGGTTTCGAGCAAAAATCAAAGACACAATACGTCCAACAACCTGACAAAAAAAAATATCAAGAGTTAATCAGCGCCCCTCACTCACCACCCGTGCACTACACACCACACTTTACTTCCCCATAGGCGATTAACCTGAGAGTGTGGTTGGTGGTACCGGTAATCCTCTAATAAACAGCAACATTATGACTTTCTTGTTCTATATTGCAAAGTTTGGTATCAATAGAAAGGTTACTTCTTGTAGAATGCAATGACAGTGCACATAAAAGCATCTTTATAAGAGAAAAGGCATGATGGGGACATTCATCTCTAATGGGTTACATCTGTACTGACCAGCTGATAATAAGATCTTCATTTTCCTGTAGACAGTCTTGGGGAACTAATGAGAACCTGGAACTTAACCCTGTAGTTCACATAGACCTAAAGTATTTAAGCAGATTCATTTTGTAGTGTTTTCCAGGAACTTAACCAGAGAGTAAACTGAGGGTTTAATGTATATATATAATGTATTTAACTCTCACAGCACTCATTAGTTTGTTGCTAATAAAGTGATGGTTTTGTCAATTTAAGGAAGTGCTGAAGATGTAGAAACAACAAGTTACATATTTGATGTTTTTGGAGTAAATTCAAGAAAATTTTATATCTCCTACACTGGATCTGTTAACTCTAAGTACAGTACAGTACACACAAGACTCAAATGTTCTTTAAATTAAGTCTGGTAAAATGTAAAGAGGCCCAACCATTCCTACCTTATCTTTTATAAGGATTTTTTTTGTGTTATTGATTTTAGTGATTTTGGTCATAATCAGGTAGAGGATACCGTAGGTGGCATTTGAACTTCCAAATTACTATCGCTGATGCTTGATACTGGCATCAAATCATTTATGAACTATAACACACAGAGCAAACTAACCTAACCTAATAATCTGAAGTTCTTTCTTTGTCAAGTTAGGCTTGGTAAGACAGGTTTGTTTCAATCATGTTGTCTTTCTTATATCAGATCACTTAAAGTCCTGGCCTCACAAATCAATTTTATATTTAACACAACTGTAAGTAACTTCTTGTAGGTCTAAATATCATCTGACTTACCTGATATGAATAAAACACTAAAATCAATAATTCTGTTAAGTTCTATAACAGAATTCGAACTACCGGTACCAAGGGTTGGTTCCTTAACCATCAAACTCCCTAAAATTCCCCGTAACTGTTAGTACAGGTACAGTTGCGTCGTTGTAAAGTTTTACCCACTCACCATCAACACAGCGAGACATTAGAATACTCAACAAAAACTTGACTACCTAAAGCACAGACCTAAACAGTTGCCAAATACTTCCTCTTATGTGATTTTTTTGCATCTCCTATTACAGCAAACTTAGATTAAGTAACAGTTCATAAGCCATTTAAAAAGTCATTACTATACTACAGTACAGGATGTAAAATATTATCTTGTTTAAAACTTATCTTCCCCCCCTATTTTTCAGAAGTTATATTTCATTGTAGAGCTCTGGTGGTTCACCCAGCCTACAGCAACAGCTTTTTGTGAAGGGCGAGGCATGATTAGGCAGCGAGAATGACTCCAGGGAAGTAATGTAATCATCCTTGTCCTTGACTCTATTTTACTCAATCACTGAATTATATTAAAACTCTAACAACTATTAACTCTTCCTTATCTAATAATAATATTATTAAAAAATTACCGAGAAATATATCACGTAAATTTATATATATTTTTCCTCAGGCTTAGCAATACGCACCACATACACGTGAGAATAATTACCCTCACTGGAAAGATAAACTAATTCATATTGTCCAGAATATTGATCTACAAGTAACTACAGTACACCACCAACCGCCCACCTGGTACAGTACACCATCAGAGTGCCTACCTGGTACAGTGCTCTGAGACACCATCAGCCCCTCACTGTCGTCTGTTTCGATCAGTTATGTTGACATTTTCTGTTCCTATATCAAGGTTGTGTATCTGATAACATAGACAAACTTTCTCATTGTTACTATAAAGATTTTGTTTAATAATTATAGATTTTTGTATTATATATAGAGAAGTATTATTATAAATCAATAAAAATTTAGATATATTTATATTAGTTATAGAATAAAATTTACAATTACCACTGTATGAAGAGAATTAAGATAATGAGTCCGCGGTAAATTAGAAAAAGGCTTGAGGCAATAACTATTATAAAATGCCGGAGGAGGGCACTGATAGACTCCTAACCTCTGTCTTCTCAGGAGTTTTATAATAAGAAAAGAAAGATTATCAACAATACAGAGCGACTAACCTTACCTGCTTGGTTGACAAAAACAAAACGGGTTCTAGTCATTATAAATTTAGAAGCAGTACCAAGAGCATCAATGTTCCGATGATTCTATAATGTCTATAATTATTCATTAAAAACATATAGTGTACAAAATAATTTCACAAGGGAACAATATCCTCGAACTTATCGTTGATACGTCTGCAGGCACCGTAAAATTATTTTCACTTGGTCTAACATTTGTATGATGATTTTACTGTAGAAATACAATAATAAAAATAATAATTATTATTATTATTATTATTATTATTATTATTATTATTATTATCAGTGATAATACTACTATTGTTATTATTATAATTATTATTACTATTATTATCGTTATTGTCATCATTATTATTATTATTCATTATGATCTATTACTACTACTACTACTAATAATAATAATAATTGTATTCTATTAAGTTAGGAACGCCCCTAAACGTCATTCATTAATTAAAAAGTAAAAAAAAATATATATTTATATTTTAGACAAGAAAAGAATTTATGGTAACAAGTTAAACCTCCCTAAACTGTCTCTGTAAATATTATATGATGTATATAAAAATTATTGTCTCCAATTTTAGACAGATGATTTATTGTACAACATCCATTAAAAAAAAACAGTATGACGTATGGTAGAGTATTGGATCCTATTAGAGAAGGTGAAATACTATTATAATCACCCGATCCCTTTACCACTGCGACTGATCCAAGGTTCACTCCCAGGCTTAATTATTATCATTATATTCTGTCATCACATGGCTACTATGGAAAATTTCTCCATTAATTATCACAAGAATTATAAAGGCGGTATATGTTTTCCACCTCATAAACTCATCCCTAATAGGAATAACCTTCACGTGGTCTGTGTGATATGCCAGTGTAAGGACGACTCCAATTGGCTGATATTTGGCGGGCTATTCATCATTAACCAATCAGAAGCCCGATATGATCAAGGGATGGAAGTACCAACCAATCACAACTAAGGTTTACTATCGTCCTCCATGCCATCCTCCATGTTGAATGTTTAGGGTCTTTCGGGGACCAGTTAAAGATGGTATCTCTGGTGAATATATGATAAATTACATCCAAAATGTCCTCGTCATCACAGGTAAGAAGCAGTGTAATGTGTCGCAGTGTAATATGTGTCCGGGTGACTGAGAGAGAGGGTGTCCTTGTGTACTGTGTTGTATCTATCCTGTGTTCCTATGCCGGGCTGACTTTATCATGCTGCTTATGTCTCGGTTAATGTCACTAATTTCCATCCCATTGATATGATAGATAATATAGATGTAATTGATTGGGGGAATAGATTACTGCCTCATAAAATAGTATATAAGGAACTTTTGGTTAGTGGCTAGATTGTCTGGTAATGGTGGTTTGTTTCTGGGAATTATTTAATTTTTTTGTTTATTGATTATATATTCAGTTGGTTAGTAAATTAAAATAAATATTGAATTAGGGAATGGCAGTAGGTGTTGGCTTTTTAAGTGAATATAGAAAACTATCTTTTAGTTATATCTGAATGTAACAGGAATAAAATACTCTATAATGTACACTGAATCATCACTATTCATTGAAGTAGCACTGTACTTTTTACCATTCTTTAACACCCAAACAAACTAGTTATATGAGAACTTTGGGTTAATTTGAATAGTATTTAAGGCACAGGTACGGCAGCTGTTTGTGAAACGTTGATGTTTATTGGTACGGCGGCCTAATGTACAGTGTGGTGGGGAGAGTATACTGTGATAGTTACTAAGATGGCTTTCTTTTGGTAAAATTTTAGTTAAGGTCATCCCTGTATTTAGTTATCCAAACCTATCTAACCTGGTAAATGTGCATATTACAGCAACCATGGAATTTGAAAAAAAAAATGGTTTTATGATGGGTTTTGATACGATTAATTCAAATCACTTGTTTGTGATTTAGCCCCCTCCCCCCTCATAATAGTTCTATCGATTGCGTGTTCTGAATTCCCGGTACTCTGTGCTTGCTAACTTATGCCATATAACCAAACCTTACCTAACACCCTCGCCCCGAGCGCTATGTAATAACCCTAGAGTTGCGTGGTCAGCCTCCACATTTTATATGTGAATAAATTGTCTGTCCACAATAATGTGACAGTTTGAAACTTTCACCAACAAAACAAATACCCTACAGGGCATATATGTCCAGTACTGTATTATCGTAAGTAAAATTTATATTCTCATATTTCTTAAATTTATCCTGTACCTGCTAGCAGCTGGATTACAAGTTTACTCGCTAGATTTAATATAAAGTTCTCTAGATTTAATGTGAAAGTATCAACACTGGCAGAAAATTTTGGATGTGAAACCCTGCTGCCAGGAAGGAAAGTTTTTTAAATAAATTCTTAAATAACTATGGTAATTTTAAAGGTTTAGTTCTGATTAACTTTTCAAATGTTTTGTTAGTTTCTCCAATAAGATGTACAGTCGGGGACAAAAGTTCCATCCCTGTGGTGAAACGGCATCACAGGAATGAGTCTCCGAACTGATTTATCCTGACTGTTGTATCTCATTTGGGGTCGATACTGCTTCATTTTAGGAGGGAGTGAACTTTTGACCCCCCACTGTACATGTACTGTATTGTAATTCTGTGAGAAATATTTGTCAAGTTAGGGATGATAACATTGCTTGATTGTAAATATTTACCAAAATGCTATACTGTACCTGTAAAATATAATGATTTAATTTCCTAATTGTATGTTTTAATAATTGTACAGGTAGTGTCATTTAGCTTAGAGCAGATAACATTTCATACAGTTTAGTTTTAAATTGTAATAATTCATAAACTTTTCATAAATTGCAGGACTTCCAATTCTTGGATTTGACTGGGGTGTGTGAAGATGAAAGGCAACATCTTCTGTCACTTTTCACTTGTGACAACCCTGCCGTCCTCGTGCTGGCTCCTGATGCTCCTCCAGGTGGCCGCAAGTATGGAGGTGTGGAGGAATCTATACAAACTTCACCCACCCCAACACCACCTCCTCCATTGGTGCTTCAGGTCAAAGAGGAAGAGGAGGAGCCTCTAACTCATGATGAACACATCGCTTCTAATTCCTCCCAAGAGGAGCTTGCTGGACCAGTTGCCTTTCTCCCTGATGGTTAGTAGATTGTCTTTCTGTAGCTGCTATTTCCTTCAGAATGTTGTGTATTTCTTGGGTGAATTAAGGATTTATCTACTGCTGAAGGTTACATTGAGGTGTATGTAATTATAAAATGTCTGTATGTACGTTTTAGCCATGATATTCATCACTTAGAGTAAGGCTTTCTTTGCCATTGTGCTTTGCATATATTACCCTGTAAACTAAGCTTTGTACATACTGTATTAAGAGTATAACAGGCTAACCCAACAGCTTATGCTGATTATATCCTTTGTTAATACCCTCAAGTCATGTTAGCTGGCATGGGTGAAAACTGAATGATTGTCCCAAAACAATGATGCAAACCCACAAAGGTGTTAGCTCCTGGAAACTCCTTCATCTACCAATATCTAGATGGAGAAGCAAATATCGGCACAAAATTGTGCCAGTAAATTATACTTCCGCATAAAGGAATTGTGTACATTTCTACTCATTTTTGAGCTACGATCACTATTTATATCGTCTTCATCTATAATAGCCAAACCACGCTCAATTAGAGTGAATGCCTCTGTCAACCGCTTTGCTTTTAGAGTTTGAACGACCTTGGGCTCCTCTTTCTTCTCTGCTTCCTCATCTTCCTGCTCTTTTTCTAAGTCAAGCAAATCTTGGGTCGAAAGTTCTTCTTTATGAGAGTCTAATAACTCCTGCACGTCATCTAACTCCACCTCTTCAAGACCTACTTTCTTTGCCAAACTCACAATGTTTTCTCTGGTTTTACACAGATCACTTTCAACACCAAAACCTCTAAAGTCATGCACAAGATGCAGACAGTTTTTTCCAAACTCCATTCATACATGAACAATTAACTTTGTCCCATGCCTCACCAACAAACATTATAGCCTCTAATGTTAAAAGATTTCCAGAATACTTTAACAGTCATTTTTTGATCATCAGTAGCCTTCACTACAGCAACAAATGATTTGTTGAGATAATATGCTTCAACGTACAAATCACTCCTTGATCCATAGGCTGAATGGGGAATGTCGCATTTGGTGGAAGATAGACAACTTGAATGTTTTCACAAAGATCTTGAATTGACAGTGGATTTTTGAGGGCGTTATCCACCAACATTAATATTTTAAAAGAAAGATTCTCACGTATCTCATCTTTCAGCTTTGACACAACAGTCACAGAAAAGACTACCAGTAATCCACCCCTTGTTATTTGAAAGGTAGTGAACTGGTAAGAGATGTTTAGAATAACCCTTGAGAGCATGTGGGTTTGTTGAGTGGTACACAATCACCTGCTTTAATTTGCAGTCACCTTCAGCATTACATCCAAACAATAAAGTACACTATAATGATCCTTAGCGGCCTTGAAGCCTGGTGCTGATTTTTCCTCACGAGAAATATACGTGCGTGCTGGCATTCTCTTCCAAAATAGAGCAGTTTCATCCAGATTGAAAATCTGCTTTGCAGAGTAGCCTCCCTCCTCAATAATACCCTTCAGAGTTCTGATGAATTCCTCGGCAGCCACAGCATCGGCAGATGCAGCCTCCCCACTCATCTTGATGTTGTGATACCCATATCATCGCCTGAAGTTAGCAAACCATCCAGAACTAGCACAATGGTTTCACTGGGCCTTCTTCATCCTTCTGTAGCTCTTCATGGATTGCACGCATTTTTGCCTGGGCTAGGAACATGCTGACTGGTACGTTGCGCTGATTTTGATCTTCAATCCACGTACTCAGCATCCTTTCCATGTGCTCCATTATAGAACTCCGAGCTTAAGAGGTTTTTGTTGCACTTGCAGATGTCCCTGATTGAGCACTGTTCTTTATCTTCTCAGCATTGTCTCGAATGGTACGAACAATGCTCTCACTTAAACCAAGCACTGGGCCAACCTCTGACACACGCTCTCCTCTCTGAAGGCGGGTGATCACATTTAATTTCACTTTCATTGCGATTGTTTTTTGTGCCTTTTTTGCTTTTGGCAGATGGACATTTTCCAGACATGCTCAATGGGGAAAACAGCATTTAACACTAAAAATGTACTTGATAAATACACAATGCAAATGAAAGCACAGAGAAAAGATAGTGCTGGTGTGAACTGAGGAAGCGATATGCCGGAAGCTTGCTGGACGTCGTCACAGTTGATGTACAGAATACTTCATTATCATTATTATCTTCATCATTAGAAGTAATAATCTTTATTTTACATTATTTTAATAATTATTTATTAATAATAATATTAAAGTCGTTGATGTTGATATGACTGCGACTTAATAGTAATAACTTACAAGCACCTCACCAGGCATCACATGCGACTCCGCTGCCAGGCGACCAAGCGAATACGCATGACAAATTTAAACTGCCTTAAGCACGTTATTTCAAAAATAGGTGCGCATAAATTAGCTTTTGGTATTAATTGAACAATCTCTTTATTCCAAAAACTCTTAATCAAATGCGCGTAAAATGCTAGTTACCTGTATTTTGTGTGTGTGTGTATTAATAATTAACGGTTTATTGAAAAAGTTCTGCAGCCCGAAGGCTGAAAATATACATTGGACATAAATGACTTACTACATACATTGACATTGGTGGTTTAACAAAAGCTGTGTGTGTTCATCAAAACTCAGAAAAGGGAAATAGACATACTTAGCATTCGCCAATATTCAGACATCTGAAGACATCTTAACGAAGTGTGAAATTGAGACATGCAACAAAATTTACTACTTATATAAAATGTTATTACTGTATTAATATACATGAAATAAGTCATGAAATGAAAGGGCTAGAATAAAGATAATGTCTTATTTCATGTACAGTCAGTCCCCGACTTACGACGGGGTTAGGGACCGACGACCAGGTCGTAAGTCGAAAATGCGGAAATAATACATAGAAAATCTAAAATGGGTGTCTCTTTTTCTTCTCAGCACCACAAAAACTCTCAATTTTATGCTTGCCAACCATTTTAAAGGGAATTACAAAAAAAAAAATTGTCAGTACACAGCACAATCACTAACGCCGGGACGCGAAAATACGTAATTTGAAAAAAAACTGTACGACTGCGGCGGTCGTATGTCCGGGTGGTCGTAAGTCAAGGAGTACCTGTATATGAATGCAGTAATTACTCCATTCACTACTCTTTTTCAGGCTTGTTATGTTTTTTAAACACTAAAGTTCCTTAAGATTACATTTAAAACTAGTTTTCTTCATTAAGGGTACTGTAATGATGGCACCCGGTGTGTTTGGTCAGCATGGAAGACGCACACAGTACCTCTAGTGGCCAGAAATGGAACCACAGGCAAGATGGCGGCAAATTAAAACTGATTTTCTTGATTTTTTTTAAATGTGATTAGACATTACTTAATGGAAATTGACCCACCAAAAAAATGCTGGTTGCTTGGGAGTTCTGGGTGGTTAAATGCCGGATATTCGAGGCTATACTGTATGTTGGTAAGGAAAAGGTACCGTACTCGGGGAATAATATCGCACCGTACTTACTGCCCAAAAATTTTTGTACAGTACCACCACCCTTGCCTGTAGTGTGTGTAGGGCAGCACCTGTGATCACCTACCCTTACTACCACTCCACAGCCCCAATATTGTTCTGTCAGTGGCACTAACACTTGTCATATGAGGTCATAACTCTTGTCACCTCACATCTACAACCTCTCAGCTTGGTGGATCCTTTGAAATGTTGACTAGTTGACCGGCTGACTAAGAGACAGGTTGGCAGCTTATTATTGAGGTAAATTACCTGCATCTGACAAAAGTCGCTAATTCTGGTATAGTTACACTGATGACCTTTCAGGTTAACCATGCATGGTGAGGTGGGGTCACACAGCACCTGCAAATTCCCATCTAGGCACTGTATTTTCCTCTCAAAATATTAGCTTGTCTGCCAGAAAAGTACTGGGCACGTGGACATGAAAAATCACTTGCCCAGCCCCTAGTCCGGGCACAACTGGGCTGCCAGGCAATGTTAAGCTGCACAGCCTGTCAATCTGTCATATATAGTTTTGTCTGTGTCTAACCCTAAGCCAACTGGTATGTTTATTACTAACTATAGTTTCTTGATGCCGGTAAAGAATATTTAGAAATTAATATCTCCATCATTATATAATGCTTATTGTTTTCTAGACTTCTGTAAGTTGTTTGTGATTTATCCTGTTAATGCTTTTCTTAATCTACAAAACATGTACGTATACAGTATTAATTTCTTTGAAGCATTAACTCTTTTCACTCAAAATTTTCTGACTAAACATACTTTTCCTAGTTCCTCTTCCTCTTTTGATCCAAGGAAATTCCTTGTTTATTTTATTTATTTATTTTTTATCTGAAATTCTTTGCATAAAACAGTAAAACCTCACTAAGGTGGACCCCGCATAAGCCGGACCAAATTATTTGCCAAAAAAAATAATAATTAAAAAGTAGAACAATTTGTCGTAAGATGACGTGTCCGCCGTAAGCCAAAATTTCAAGGGAACAAGGCGAATAGACCTCGTGATCCACCAACGCTGGTACGTGTCACGCGCTCAGTCATAATTAGCGTCACCTGTGCTGAACTTTATTTTGAAACTCATTTGACATTGCCTGTAATGCTATTATGTTGTAGGCTGACGTAGCATACATATTTTTGCATTATTATTGAAAAATTAGACAATAACCATGGCCCCTACGAAGGTGTTTAGTGTCCGTAAGGGTGGTGAGAAGGTTAAGCCCAAAACCTTATCAGTGAACAAAAAGTTTAAGGTGATTAAAAGGCTAGAAAAGGTGCTGCACGCTCGTAAATATGCCCTGAATACGGAATTTCAAAGCACTCAAACTCAAGTGTGCTGGACATACTTCTGACTGCAAGAAGCTTGCATTCTGAGGTATGTCCAGCTGGATTGTTATTATTATTTTTATTATTGTATTTTTTATTAATTTTTAATTATTTTTATTAATTATTATTATTAATTATTATTATTATTATTATTATTATTATTATTATTAATATTATTATTATTATTATATTTTCGCCCCTCAGGACCTGATGCGAGTCAGTGACCTGTGCCCGGGTGGGCTAATCCCCGTAAAAAAGAAGTACATTACTTTTTTTAACAAAATTTTATTGAAAAACATGTATTTCTTTCATAAAAAATGGATACATTGGTGCTGTACTTTTTTTTTTTTAATAGTTTTTGAAAATTTGCTCCAAGGCAGACAACCTCTTATCCAGGATACACCTTCCCCCCAATTAGTCCACCTTAGCGAGGTTTTACCGATAAAATTATAGCCATATAGCTTATGAAATAAAATAAAATGTGAAGAAATAAAAGCAAACTTACCTTACTGGTCTAGTATGAGGTCTTGAAATGGCTCAAGTCACTCACGACTCTGCACTGTGTGTGCTGGGTGGGTGTATGGGTTGCCAAGGTGTGTGGGCCTTCTGGTGAGCCCCTTAGGAGTCACTAAAGAAAATTGGAGGTTTGGGTATTGGTGCACAGGTTGAAATCACAGACCCTGGAGTAATTAGTGGTACAGTAGTTGTAAAATCATAGCTCCATCGGTGAACTTTGCCAACGGGTTAAATCTTTCCTGAAATACATTGTAATGGATTTGGTTCCTGATGGAATAGTTTTCGGTCTCCTTGAGGTATTGTTGAAACCATGACTTGCGATAATCAACTTTTCTTTAATAATAAATTAACCTTTTCATTAATTTTTGTTATTCAACCCAGGTGGTTCTGGCCTGGTTATCTCTAAGCTCTTCCCTGCCTTTGTGTGCTGAATAATACATTAGAATCTGGTTGTATGAAAGAAGGTGCAGATTTATTTTCAGTTCTGTTTTTTACCAAGCATGATGGTGGGAGCCTAACAAATGTTACCCAGTAACCACTTTTGAAGTCTGTATTGTAAGATGTTTGCGTGTGCAATTTTAATTCCCTTCTGCATCATAATCATTAATAATCATCACTTTATTTATAGGTAAGCTAATTCATATTTAGCTTTTAAACTGAGAACCACATTTAACTTCCAGGGGGCTTTGCTGATGATGGTAAGGTGAGTGTGATGGCTGGGTCAACACCACCACCCCATGCAACTTCTGTCACCAGCACGACCATCGCAGACACCACCACAACTACCACTGTTGCATTAGCCACCTCTGATACTGGAGCAGAGGTGGTGAGCGTGAGAGGCTTCAGCGTACCCCCTCCCAATGTCGCAGGACAAGGCCAGTTGGGAGTCCAACAGGGTGGACAACAGTCGGGGCAGCAGGTGTATCAGCCGTACCCATCAACTTCTCCCAACAATCCTCCCATGTACAACCCTCACATGCCTCCACCACCTCATCCCCAGCTGCCACCTAGCAATGTATATACTCAAATTCCCCCACCACCACCACCAGTGTTACCTCATGGAGCCACTGTTTATGTAGCCAACTGCCATGTGAATTTATCACCGTACAGTGGTACACAAACCCAGGTACCTGTTCTGACCTCAACTCCCGGACCATCTCAGTCTCCCCCTGCACCAGCGCTAGTACCGTCAATTCCAGTTGTGCAAGAGCAACAAGCTGTACATATACCCCCAGTTAAACCAATACACGAGGGAAAGCCAGACTACGTTGACAGGAGGTACGAACCGTTTCGGGTAAACCACAGGGGCCGTGGACGCGGACGGGGGCGAGGGAAACGTACTAATGCCGAGAGGAGTAATTCCGTGTGTAGCGATCATTCTGGGTATGGAGATAAACATTATGCAGAGAATATGGGACCACCTCCCTATGGAGCTATGCCTGGGCAATACATTTATCCTAATGTGCAGTACCCATTGCGAGGAAGTGGCTATCCCACATACCCAAATGTACCAGCAGCACAAACTGTCCAAGGCTTGCCTCTTATGTACAGTCAGCCTCAGCCGTATTCTCAGTACATGCCGTATCAAGCACACAGCCCAGGCCATCTTGTCCCATATCAACAGCAGCCTGGGCCTCCTGGTGCTCAGCATCCTGCTGCTCTTCAACACATGCATCCTCAGCATCCACATCAGTTGCCTCACCAGCCTCCCCCCCACCAACCACCTCACCATCATCAGCAGCAACACCCTCAGCATCATTATCACCACCATCCAGATCCTCAACATATCCAACATCCTGTCCCTCAGGATCATCAGTATCATGTGCAGCAACAGCACCCTGATCAACAGCAGCTGACCAACTTTCCGGAACCTCCCGAAATTACCAATTCTGCTGATTCACATTCTAATCAACCATTTGTGTCTGCTTCACAAACACCATCTACACAGTATGAAAATGCCAATTCCATGGGTGTTCAGGCCCCAGCTGTTAACTTAACTCCCTCTGTTACAGCTCCTGAAGCAGGCAGAGTCAGTCCACTGACCACCCAGACTGCTGCCATGGCCCTAGAAGATTCTGTGGAACCAACAGTCTCACCCTCTGGCACCCCTGCTGCAAATCAGGAGGTTCATCTTTCAGAGGAGCAAGAGAGTGTTCCTCCTGTAAGTGATGAATCCAGATGTGCATCTACAACCCCAGTTGAGAAACATCAGGGTAACAGTCCACCACAGATGCCACCCCAGGTGCAGTCACACATTCCACAAGTGCAACCACAAGGACCACCTCAGACACAGTCACAAGGATCACCTCAGGTGCAACCACAAGGACCACCTCAGGTGCAACCACAAGGACCACCTCAGGTGCAGCCACAAGGACCACCTCAGGTGCAGCCACAAGGACCACCTCAAGTGCAGCCACAAGGACCACCTCAGGTGCCACCACAAGGACCACCTCAAGTGCCACCACAAGGACCACCTCAGGTGCCACCACAAGGACCACCTCAGGGGCCACCACAAGGACCACCTCAGGTGCCACCACAAGGACCACCTCAGGTGCCACCACAAGGACCACTTCAGGTGCAGCAAGGACCATCACAGAGTCAGTCACAGGGACAGCCTCAGGTGCCACCACAGGTATCACCTCCGGTACAGTCACATATACCACCACAAGTACCAGTTCACTTGCAGTCTCCCATGCTACCACAGGCACCAACCCAGGTACATACAAACTTACAATCCCAAGGGCAGCCACAGATGCCATCCCAGCAACAAGGATCACCTCAGATACAGCAACAAGGACAGCCTCATGCACAGCTTCCAGCACCACCACAGGTCCAACCACAAGGACCTGTAAAGGTTCAGTCACAATTGCCACCCCAGGTACAGCAACAAGCATCACTGCAGCCAGCAGTTGCTGCCAGTCAGCCCATAGTCAACCAGTCAGTGATGAACCAACCAATGTTAAACCAGTCTGCAGCCTGCAGCCAGCCCGTGGTCTACCAGCCTCAGATCTTATTTCCACAACTTAAAGGAAAGAATGATCAAAAGTCTGCTGTATCCATTGCTGTCGACCATGCAAGTGTGGCAGACATCACCTTTATGTCAGATGAGATTCAGCCTAATGTAGATCCACAAGAAGGTGTGGATTTTGTATCTGTTAAAACGTCAACTGTAATAAATTCATCACTTATTATCCAGGATGTTCTCCAGTGTACTGTTCCTTTCACAGTTACATCATCCACAAGTGCTGATAATACAATATCTGGGAAAAGCAGCAATAGCGTGGTGGCCCCTCAGTCTTTACCAGAAAGTGGTACTGTAATTGCTAATGAAGTTAGGGTGGCAACATCAAATACTCCATCATTGGCCAGTCCTGCTCTTACAGAAGTCAATAAACCAGGAGTTGTGCCTCAGGTTGTTAACAACGCTATGCCTGGTGGTGCTTGGGCTCAGAAGAAAAGTTGGTCTCAACTGTTCAAGCCTTGTGATGAGAGTGCTGCTAAACAAGTAGCGTATGTGGCACCCTTTAATCAGGAATCGGAAAAACCTCGTGAGGAAACTCCTTCACCTTTGGATGTGGTGGAACAGAAGATATCAGATCCACCCCTTGCTGAGGCTGATATGGACAAAGCAAAGATTGGAGGTAAGGCATTATTCTTTTGTATTGAGGAAGAGCGGAGTACTAATTTACACATGATGCTTTGCTTTGACTTATTTTTTGACATTCTTTAAATTAAAGTTCAGTATGAAGTTTGTGTATTATTAGGTTTGTCTTTTCTATGCCAAGAATGCCAGTAAAGAATTTGTCTTAAGAAATACTCCCTGTACATTAGTGCCCCACCAACTGCAAAAATTATGTTCTGGAATTCACCCATGCTTGACAGGATCTCTGATGGGAAACAAGGTGTTTGGGGAAGTGACCCCTGAGACACATACATAAAGTCCTATAGTGTTTAAAATATTACAGGGTGTATGCTATACAGTATTTACAGAGGTGTGTATGGTGCTGAAACTTGTAGCTCATGTTAAAGTACAAGTAATTTGACAAAGTATTTAAAAATTTAAGTAAAAGTATCACCAATTGTTATGGCTAACGGAATATTAAATATTAACTGTGGACCCCCACTACTGCTGTTGGTAAATGAGTGGTTGTTGAGGGATTACTGTATATGCATTTTAGTACTGTACTGTGTATTCTCAACTGTACAGTATTGTAGAATGGTAGGCAGAATCTGAAACTGAGAAATTATATCACATGCTCCACAGTCTAATCCAGCATGGTATTGACTAGAATTTTGAAATAATTTTTTGATGACAAAGAGGATAAATTTAAGATCATGAGATTTTTGAGGGTATGAAGGAAGGAGTTGGGCAGTTTAAGGTATCTTTGCTTAATGTTGAGTCATCAATTATTTGTTTATTCCATTAGGGATGCTACGAGAGTATATTCAGGACCACCATCACGTAGCCCTCCAGCCTCGAGGACTCATCAACAAGGGATACTGGTGCTATGTCAATGCTCCTTTGCAGGCACTCCTGGCTTGCCCACCATTCTATAACCTGATGAGGAATATCCCAAATATTCCTGGTTTGAAAAAAGGCAAATCTTCCACACCAGTCATTGACAGCATGTAAGTGTAAAGTTTTGCACATTAATTATTGTGCTATTAGAAATCTTTTTTATATACTGTACTTCCATCTATCTACTCATCTGTGCATTATTTTAATGCCCCTCTCACTCTTATTTAAGGTAGATCAGCAGGTAAATAGGGTATGTCAAAGAAGGGAGGAAGTATGAAGGAGAGTGGTGGGAGATGTGTGTGGATAGTAGAGTGAAAGTGCTAAGACAAATTAAAATATCCTGACATATGTGATCATATTTTTAAATTGCTTGCATAGTATATACACAAAATGAATCCACATTGATTCACAACTAAAGTTAAAATTGAAATCTATTTTTTGAAAATGGACAAACCCTAGTTTTTGTGGGTGTTTTGTAAAATTGCACACTTATTGTATACAGTATATACCAACTTTGTATTCATTCATAGATTAAGTACTGCAGATTTTTTTCAATGCCACACATTTTTGGGAACTTTAGAATACTTCTCAAAATATCCCTCTCAACTGCCTTGTCTGGATCATCATCTTCATCATTATTGTCGTCATCATCATCACTATTTTATTGCCATATCCCAAGCTGTTGTAACCTCTTCATTTCTTGCAATCTCTCTCCCCCATTCTATATTGAAACGTGGCTTAACCCAGTTGGTCATCTCCATTCTCTCCTCATGCCCAAATTGTCTTGTTATGCCTGTATGTAAAGCCTTGCCAATACTCTCAGTACTTGTACCCAGCCACCCCCCATAACTTGGAACAGGGCCCTCTGTCTTTCAATGTCACATTACACATCCACCTCACCAGTCTCGTTTCTGCTTGCTCAAGCCTAAGTATGCCATATGGCATCCTCTTTTAACTGCTCATATTTTATTGTCATACATATCACACTTCTCACAGCAGTTGTATACATTTTTCCTTTCACATGAAGAGAGCCTCCTCTTGCCATCAATAAAGACAACAGCTCCCTAAACTTCACCCAGCTGCTCCTGACTTGCAATGAGATAATGTCACCACTGCCTCCAGCACTTCATGTCATACAGGTAGCACAACTCATTAACACACACCAAGGATATATCCCCAATGTTGAGTTTTTCCAGCCATGCTATGGCCACATGATTACCTATAGATGCTGCTCACTTAATGTTGGCAATATCTTGTAGTCTGCAATTACACTACTGTTGCTCCTCTGCACTTATGGCACATTGGGTTGCTGCCAACACCTTTCTTCAGATAGAACATGTCTACTTTCCTTATGGGTCTTCACCCATGTCACTCATAATTACTTTTCACCACATTCACTCTCATACCCTTTGACTCCATTCCATCCTTCCATTTCTTGAAATTCTCCACTACCTCTTCACTATTATATGCTATCAACACACAGTTCATTAACATAAAATAACTCTTTGGGTGATAGTGTCAAGCACCATGCTAAACAGCAGGGGGCTCTAGACAAATCCTTGATGGACCCTACCTTCTGCTCAAATTCCTCAGTTTCCTGACCATTTACTCTCATAACAGTTCTTAAGCCCTTATTCATTTCCATAACCAGTGGAACAAGACAGCCTGACCTCTTCAAGTTTCTCGTTACCCACTGCAATACCTTGCAGGGTAACCTGTCATATGCCTTCTCTAAGTTTACAAATACAAAGTGCAATACAGCCTTTTCACCTTCCCTGGGTATTTCTTTTGTAGTTCTTGGTCATAAATATTGCCTCTGTTGTCTTCTTGCTTGACATGAACCCAAATTGAATTTTATTAATGTCCACTCTTGCTTTAATTTTTTTTTAATCACACTTCCTGCCACTTTGGTAACCTTATCTAACAGCTTCAGATCCCTGAAGTTTACATGTTCAAGTGTATCACCCTTTCTTGTGTGAACATTCATAACCTTTGCTCTTCAGCTGGAACAAAACATTTCATTATAATTACAAAAGACAAGTGCCTGTGTAGTGAAACTATTTGGTAGAGTGGCACAGATTGTAGTGGTGTGGTGTAATACAGTAGTTGGGGCACAACCTTTGAAATATGTATGACAGGAAAAATACATACCCTGTGTACCTTTAGTAAGATGAGAATGTGCACAGTTATCTACAGAGTCAAGGATAATACTCGCAAGATTTTTAACCCAAAGGTACTGATGGATTGTGGAACTTTTGTGTTATTTGATGCCAGACATCTCAAATTATATCTTGATGTACAGTATTAGTTTTCTTTTATTAGATTATTGTTCTAATGGTATAGTTTATTAAAGGTGCATGCCATGTTTTTTTTTTATGTAATTTGAACGTTTCAGTGTGGAATATATCCACGAGTTTTCTGATATGGCACCAATGCTAAAGCCAGGCAAGAAGGACAAAGCTAATGCTGCAGCTCGCAAGGAACCAGATATTGTGACAGGATCTCCATTTGAACCCTCTTATGTGTACAAGATGTTAGCCACCATGAATGGGGACATGTTCACTGATGGCCGTCAGCAAGATGCCGAGGAGATGCTGTCATTTGTTTTGAATGGGCTGCATGAGGAGGTAAGCCTAGTAAAGAGTATAAGATATATAATTAAAAAAATATTTATGGCCCCGAATCAGAAGTGAGGATTATTATTTTTACTTGCATAAAACAGGATGACCAGAGCAATGTGTGTGTGTATCTATTTTGATATCCTTGGTGATGGATGGCGGACATGCTTGTTGCTGCTATACTTGCCTTTTACTACACTTTAACTTGAACATTTAAAGAGGCTTTGGCCATTAAACTTTATTATCTAGTTTTAAAGGATTTGTATTGACCATTCTTTTTGAAATGTCTATCTGAGGTCATTACATGATTGTTGGTTTTCAAGAATATGTTGTAAAGTTTGAATGTGTTGTGGCAAATTTGTTGAATGGAAATTGGAAAGGGTTGTTTTGTATCATGGAAAATATTAACAGTTCCACATTCTAAGGAGGAGTTATGGCTTAGTATGGTAACAGGTCCACATTCTAAGGAGTTACGGCTTAGTATGGTAACAGGTCCACATTCTAAGGAAGAGTTATGGCTTAGTATGGTAACAGGTCCACATTCTAAGGAGTTACGGCTTAGTATGGTAACAGGTCCACATTCTAAGGAAGAGTTATGGCTTAGTATGGTAACAGGTCCACATTCTGAGGAGTTACGGCTTAGTATGGTAACAGGTCCACATTCTAAGGAAGAGTTGTGGCTTAGTATGGTAACAGGTCCACATTCTAAGGAGTTGTTATTGCTTAGTATGGTAACAGGTCCACATTCTAAGGAGGAGTTATGGCTTAGTATGGTAACAGGTCCACATTCTAAGGAGTTGTTATGGCTTAGTATGGTAACAGGTCCACATTCTAAGGAGGAGTTATGGCTTAGTATGGTAACAGGTCCACATTCTGAGGAGTTATGGCTTAGTTTGGTAACAGGTTCACATTCTGAGGAGGGGATATGGCTTAGTATGGTAACAGGTCCACATTCTAAGGAGGAGTTATGGCTTAGTATGGTAACAGGTCCACATTCCAAATGGTGGATATATTATTTACTGTAGTTCATTGGTCATCGTTTCAGTAAGGTAAAGTTTAGCCCATTCTAACTCTTGGCAACAAGGAATAAGACACTTAGGTTAAGGCTGAAAGACTTTTATTTCTCATCATGGGTGGAGGAGGATGGGTCATATCTTTCATTTTATACAGTGGAAACCCTTTGTGATTAAGTCAGACGTACTGTATAGGGAGATTCACTGTATAGGGAGTTCCAATGACAAGTTTTAACTTTTTGGATATCACAGTTCAATGCATGGAGCTTCCAGATTTATATATACAGTACAAGATGAATGTCAAATTTGTTAGAATGACACAACAAGGCTGCATTCCCAAGGTCTGTGGTATATGGGACATTGTAGCATTGTTTTACAGTTTATAAAAGTTGCTCCCCTAGTGGCATTGAGAAATTTATATGGGTGAGATTTTATATTGTAGCTACAATTACCTCCCCCTCGTTATAGTAACAGGAGCGGACTGTCAATTCCCCCCATTGTACATGAAGTGCTGAGGACATGTCATGCATTTGAACCCCATCGTCATCATTGTTTTACAGCTATTTACCATCCTTGTGGGAGTTAGCCATAATTACCTGATGACATGGTCTCCCAGTTGCCATTAGGCAGATTTGAAGCAGTTTTACAGCTGGATGCCTTTCCTATTACCAATCCATTTTGACTGAGTGGGAACCGGGCATGATAAGTAGGATTCCCAACGCCGCGTAGCTGGTAAGGCAAGGTTGAGACATCCTAAGGTAATCAAGGATAATCTGTCCACTACAGTGGTCCTTCGGTTAACGAGCACAATTCGTTCCAGAAGGTTGCTCGTTAACCGAAAAATTCGTTAACCGAAACCATTGTTTCAATGGGTTTTTGGGTAATTGGTTCCAGCTCGCCGAAAATTACATACAGACGAAAAATAAATGCAGTGAAGTACACTTACTTTGAGGTGTGCATGTAGAAGGCTCCTGGTTGATGATGATGATGATGGGAATTAGAATGGGGGTGGTGGAGAAGGGAGAAGAGAAGGCATTGGGGTGGAAGAGAAGTCACCCCATGCCGCCGTTTCACCCATAAAATTTTAGTTCACTTCGTGTAATTCAATATTATTTTCTTTAAATCAACACTGCACTGCGCTATATATTATCAATGTGTAAAATAAATTCAAAATGACCAATAATTTGACGAAACAGAGAAAAAAAGCGTTTACGTTGAAGAGAGAGTGAAGCAAGATGTTACCTCCACTGAAAAGACACAGAGACGGACGCCTGTATGGTGTGTTGACAGGTTGTTTGGCGCGCTAAAAACTAGTTTCCCTGTACTTAAATTATGTTAAATAATTGTTAAAATTACTAAAAAAATTAATATAAGACTTTTAAAATTATTGAATAGTGCAAACTTCTTGATATTTACTAAAATAGTAAGGAATTTAAGCCTTAGAACCGATTACTGTATTGGGGGACTAATACGACAGCTAGTGTGCAAGCGAAAACATGTTGAGGGGCGCTTGTAAGGAATTCGTTAATCGAGGGATTGCTCGTTAACCGAAGTTAAGAATCTTATGGAAGGTAAATCGTTAACCGAGGGATCACTGTATATAACTGAGTATGGATTAGGTGAGTGATGCCCACCCTCCTCTTAGTGGTTACATCATGAAGTCAACTGGACTATGAGTAAGTTAGGCTTAGATTAGGAACTTCAGTATGGGTTGCAACAGTGGAGAGGCTCAGTTTGTACAGCTTTTGTGATGTTTCAAGTGGCCCCCCCAACACACACACACACACACACACACACACACACACACACACACACCCATTCCCCCAATTATGTTACTGTATATTTTCAACCTTCCGGCTGCCATGCTCTTTCAATAAACCGTTAATTATTATTGTTATTATTATTATTATTATTATTAAAACAAAATTGGTTGATGTAATTTTGATTTATTGTGGTTGTTGTAAGGAAGATTTTAATTACAGATGGTAGAAGCATTGAAGCTGGCCGGTGAAGTCAACCCCCCACCCCCTTCAAGTGACAACTCTGTTAATGGGTCAGTCAATGGAGAAAACAATACGTCTGATCATGAAGAGATGTCTGATGATGAATGGCAGGTAAATAGTGACTGCAAGTGTTGAGAAGTTTTAATGGTCGAGAAACCTTTGTCCGTGTTTTTTGATACAATGGTCAAATATACACTCTCATCTAGCTGTGATTAATAATAAGATAAATATATTTTACAAATTCCCAGTCAACATACTTGTTATTAGTCTTTCAATTGTCAAAGTAATCTCGTTCTCTCTTTAATCTTTTTCTATCTCTGTTTCTCTCGTTCTTTTTGTCTCCTCTGTCTCCCATGCAAGCATTTGTATAGAGAAACTAAAGGATTAAAATGATTTGCTCTGTGGTGGAATATTAGTGCCTGTCCAAAGATTGTATTAAGGGATGCTGTTGTAACCAAATCTGCCATAATTATTTTGATGTGCCTACAGGTGATGGGTCCTCGGAAACGCTGTGTTGTTACACGTACGGCCACTTTTAGCCCATCTCCAATTAGCGATATATTCTGGGGGCAGTTAAGGTCAGTTCTTCACCAGGCTGGTGGTCACACTACTGCCAACCTGCAGCCTTTCACCACATTGCCACTGGACATTCAGGTGAGGATAAACTTGGTGTATAGTGTATGAAGATATCTTAGAGTTATTGGTACTTTTAGCATCTTGTTAAAGAACACAATACAGTCTTACTACCAGGCACACAAAATGCCTGTAGCTAAATGTTGACAAAAGATGATTTCCTGTTTTCCTTCTACTGTTTTACCCTACCAACACTTTTTTTTTAATAGGTAAGCCAAAGGCCCAACCTTGTGTTTTTCCTGCATAATTAATATTTTCATCATTTTTACCACCATTTTCACATCAATGCTCTGGGTTGACCTGAGTCAAAAGGAAAAAAGCAATTTTTCAATCAGGCATGTGAGTCTCACTGTGCTGTCTTTATAAACCTCACTCTGCCTTGGTCTACTATCATTCACATGTTCTGCTGTATTCTGTATATCCATATCATTCTCAGACATTCTTTATGATATTCCTCTCGTGCATCCTTGTTCAACTTAGGCATTCCTTTTACCAGCCTCCCACTTCTCATTCTCTCAATACAGCTATACCACCTCACCAAACCATTGTAAGTTTCTGCATATCTTATTCCCTGCATCCTTTTCACTTCGTTTGTCTTCTAATTTACTTTTTCCTCTTGCATCCAGAGACCATGCTTCACTTTCATAGGATATTGTCAGCTCAGCACACACACACACACACCTTAGTGCAGAACTTTCTTCCTCTCTACATTACTATGAGTCAATTTGTCACCCATTTTTCCATTAGCTTACACCCACTGACAGACACCTCAAAATGCCTTACTTCCTCTGTCTTTGCTCCATTCATGCTGACCATTATTCTCCTTGTCTCCCTTTTCTCTTTACCTTTTCCACAAGCACCATCAACTTTCTCCTAGTACACATTCACTAACATTTGTAACTTTTCTTCTGATTTGCTCACTCGGGTTGATTCCCATACTTGCTGTCTACTCCAACACTCTTGTTACCCCATCCATTAAGGCCATGCTAAGAATATTTGCATCTTTGACCTAGACCTACTTATTGGGAACTTGACTTACTCTTTATCCAATACAGTTTTAATAACCCCATTTTTTTTTATTTTTTTTATTTCATTTGCTTCTTCTGGATCTATAAATGTACAAATAGTTGACATTGAAGACAAAGTATTGATCATTCTTCATACCGCATTCTAGCAGCAGTGAGCCAATTGTTTTTGTTATCTTTTGCAGTCTCCGAAGGTAGAGAGTGTACGCGACGCCCTGGAACAGCTGGTTAGTCGTGAAGAAATTATAGATTATACTGATTCAAAGACCAATCAGGATGTCACAGTACACAAACAGGTAAATTTTAAAATTTTAATGTAAGTAGTTGTCTTAAGTGGGAAGTCAAATGTTTGTATCACCTTCATCTATCAAGCTGTAAATAAGAAGCATGAAGGAGACTTTTTGTAGTTGGACAAGCAATGAAGTACATATACCATATTTGCATGATTATAAGCCACCCTTAATTATAAGCTGCAGGATGAGTTGGGTATTTTCATGCATAAAAATATTGACCTCACAAGCCACACTGAGGTTGAACCATCACTTTAATCCTTCAGCTGAAGCTAGAGGAGAGTGATTCTACCACTGTGTGTGCAAAGAGCAAAAGGATATTAAAACTTGCCGACTGAGAATGGTTATTCAGTACGTCTTTGTACAATGGAAGTTAGATGCTGTACTTGATGAATATACAGTACAGTATGTACACTAATAGTTACTCTCATTCTATTGGAAACAAACATCAATGAAATGAAAAAGAAAAATTACTCCTGTGAATATCAGTACAGTATACATTATAATAATCACCAATAATAACATTTCACACATCAATCTATATTTTGTTTGTGTATTAGTCTCTCTCGCTCCTTTTTTAAAGGGGGGGAGTGTGACTTACAATCGTGTAAATACGGTAAACAAGAATTACCTTATTTTACGGCATATAAGATGCACATTTTTGTCTGAAATTTTTTAAAAAATCAGCCTGCGTCCTATATGTGAAGTTGTGGTCTCCTGCAAGCTAATGAATCCCCCAGTTGCTGTCTCCAGTAGGCTAAATTCTGCCTAACCTAGCTCCAGAATTAAAAATTTGTTATTGCTTATTTAAACACATTGTTATTATTATTTTTAATTCGTTAAAAAATAATTATTGTAAATATAAAAGGTCAATCTATAACTACTCTGTACTGTACTGATGATGATAACCTGAGACTGTTAATGTCCGTACGGCAGACACCCAACTCATCAAAGGTAGCTAAGCAGTAGCCATTTTTGAACTCTTACAAGCATTACAATCTATTAATGCCATACCTGCAACATTAATTTTTCATCGATCTACAAATACTTGATACAAATGAAGATTTACAGATAATTTCTTTTCACATTACATCTGTTAACATCGCTGGTGGCATTGTAACCTGTTAGACTCGTCTCTGTAACCAGGCTACTGGGCTAAGATGTTGTTTTTAAACTCGCATTTTCGAGTAGATATACATAACTTTCTTCATTTATTTTTACTGATATATATGCACACACCATCTTACATACATACTGTGAAAAAAGTAAAAGGAATGCACATTTCTTTGCACACGAGTTAGCTGGCTTAATCGGGGAGCGGGTGGGGGACGGCTGGTGGTGGGGGGAGCGTTGCTAGTAAGTCGACGGAGGTAGTGTCGCCGTTACTATGGTAAACAGGGTGTACAGATGTGCAGTACAGTTAACCCTCACTTTACGCGGTTAATGTCACCCGGAGGGTCCCGCGTAAAGTGAGTAACGCGTAAAGTGAATAACATAACATATGGGATTAATTGAAATGGAGTCCGGGCCGATCCCCAAACTCCACTTTTTGACGACACACAACTATGTTGTAGTAAAAATATTATCTTAACTTTATGATGGTATGCACACACAATTAATAATTAAGAGAAATATCAATAATATTAGGTTTTTTAACACTTACATTAGTAGAAAAAATGGCTGGGCACACGGGGATGGGCGGTTGGTTCCGAGGCAGAGGGCAGATTATTGGCCCTCACCTGTGTCACTTGTATCAATTGTATCACTATCCACCACAGAGGCTTGCAGGGCCTCTTTGTCAAACTCCCCAAAGTCCATATAAGTCCATATCCTCACCATAATTATCACTATCACTGACTTGGGCCGGCTGTGGTGGGTGGCGGGTGAAGAACTGGTAATGTTTTGATGACTGGGCGACCTTGTGCGCACCATGTTCGCGCAGCTTACACAACATGGCGGATGGCGGGAGGTTTGGATCCAAAAATGGCGCGGCTCGCCAGCCGCTCTCCGCGTAAAGGGGTACACGCACCGCGGAATGTGAGCATCCTGGGTTCCGGCAGGGCACCGCGTAAACGTGGAAACGCGGAATGCGGGACCGCGTAAAGTGAGGGTTAACTGTATATGTAAATGGCAACTGTTGAACTTTAATTTGGCTTTTATTTATTGGTTTGGCAATAGAGTTTTTTTGTTGTAACTTATTTATTGGCATTATTTTTATTCCTCACATTTACTGCATCTTATATGGCGTGAAATACGGTAATGTATGGGCAGTACTCTCAGCAAGGTGGCTTTAGGGACAGGATCATACTGTTTGACTTCTACATCTTGTTTAAAGGCAAGAAATGTGTGTCACTCTGGTCTGTAGGTTCTGCTGGCTTAACTGACCTCTTTGCACTGTGCTGGGGGTAAATTACATGCATGCACATACTCATCTAAATCTTATAGCTGCCCACAGATTGGCAAAACCCACTCAAACCTAGAAAGAAAAATTGGTAAAGTTAACACACACACACACACACGCACGTACGCACGCACGCACAGAGAGAGAGAGATATCACTTTTTTCCTCAATTGAGTATTTAAAAAGTTATTTGACTAATTGTTGAATATATTGTAGCCATTTCATTAATTATAACAATGACATTTTCAGGTGTTGCTGGAGCATTTGCCTAATGTGCTCATTCTTCAACTAAAACAGTTTATATATAATGTTGATGGTGGGCTTCAGAAACTGATGAAGAAAGTAACTTTCCCCATTGACTTGGAAATCACCAAAGGTATGTTGTAATGTTTTATTTTTCATACCTGTGTTCAGGTTGTACTTCTATGCTTATAATATTGGAGCAGGGTTTATACTGTTGAGAAATTGTGTAAAATTAGTTGGGTTAATCAGTATGCAGCCTTCACTAGAATTACTATATACCTGTATGTAATGTACAGTACAGTACTGGAAGATATTTTTCTGCTCAAATTTGAAGTTTAAAATTTATATTTAAGTGAAGTTTTAAAAGGTAGTGGATTCTTTTGGAGGGAGACGTTTAGGTTATTAATTTAACTTATTATACACAAGGAAAGATAAATATTCTAATATGTCGTGAAAATGAAAACATTGTTTTCCAAGGAAGTTAGTGCTGGGACTTTTTTTTTCTTTTTGTTGAGATACTGTATATGGTTTGATTGGTGAGTTTTACCACTAAGAAAGTTATTTTGTTTACACGGTAATAATAGTAATTGTAAATGCATTAATGTTATTTTTTTTTTATAAACGTGCCAAATAATTTTCATATCTTGAACAATTTTCCCTCTTTGAATGATGTATGAATTATATACAGTATCGTGGTTATGTTTTTGATAAACTGGTACGTACCAGATTCTTGAAGTGGTATGATTAGGTTGTGCCCCTTTCCCCTCACACTCCCAGAGGGCCCTGTGTGGAGGTGGCCATCACTGCCCTTCACATGTGTTATTGGCTTTATTTGATCTGTCATCAGTGCTCTATAATTCAGCATAAAGGGAAGTTGATACTGATATCTATCCAGGATATCAGTGTCAACTTGGTGTTATGACTATCATCACTAAGCTGAAATCTCAAATCACTAAAATTTGACTATGGCTTTTCCTTATTTGATGTTAATTTCTGGTCACTGTCAAAGAGCTAGATGGCAAATCCCAGAAGCTTTGATGAAAACAACTTCCATCTTGTGTTTGGATTTGCTTTTATATGAACACAAGGTATTAGATGTACTGTAGATGGTGGTATAGAATTTATTTGGTAGGTTGAGAAGAATTAATTTTGGTCATATTTTATTCTAAACAGAACTGATGTCATCAAACAACCGTGGAAAGTTTTCCCAGCAACAGAGGAAGTACAAGTTACTTGCAGTTGTATATCATGATGGCAAGGAGGCAAACAAAGGCCATTATATAGCAGATATATACCATGGAGGCTACAACTGTTGGCTGAGGTATGACGACAGTTTTGTCAAAGTGGTCCAAGAAAATAATGTTGTCCGCCCTGTCCCTCCTAGAGTTCCATACCTCCTCTTTTACCGTCGGGGTGACACCATGGTGGGACCTTCAACTAAGGCAAAATCATGAACACCCTAAGGTACTGGCGAAAAATCCAAGGACTTTGATCGATGTCGTATGATTAAGTGAAGATGTGAAGCTTTTTAACATGTGCATAACTGTCTTATAATTGCAGGATAGAAAATAGGGAACTGGGCACTGATTGTGCTGGCTTAAACATATACTGTAGTGTGAAGTCTTGAGTGCTTCAGTAACTTCACCTCTTGACAGTGTTGACCTCACTCAGTCAGTAGCCAAACTTAAGCAAACCTTGCAATTAACTTAAAACGGTGTTAATTGGTGTAAAGAATATAACTAGAAAAAGAAAATGTGAATTTTGAAAGAAGTATTAGCATTGGAATTAGCACAGTGATTAAAGTTTACAACATGAGAAATGTTGTGAAAGAGCTTTAAATAAAGATCTCATTGCTGAAGTTATGTGAAAGAACACAGCTAACTGTATCTTGTGCTGTAAGTGAAGTGAAAATGATAGAAGATAATTTCGTTTTCTATATTTTTTTATTGAGTTGAAACAAGTGACTGTGTGGATTTACTCTGAATGAACTTGCACCCTTATAATTCTTAAGTGGAGGGTAGAGTGAAAAGTACTTTCTTGTGGAAGACTCAGAAGTTGTGAAGTCATACGAATGGATATTGAAATGTTGGAATTTCTCAGCCTTGAAATGTTTTAAGCGATGTGGATTCATTTATAAAGGCATAAAACTCTTGTGTGTGTACTCCTATGCCCCTTCACCCTTTAGTCTGTCAGCACCAATAAGTATCATAAGCTTAGGCCTCTTGCTTGTTCTCTGTTTGTGTATGTTGAGTGTTGGTGGCATTATACCATGCTCAAGCACTAAAATTACAGTGCTAATTAACAATCACTTCAATTCACCGAGAATGTACATTTAAAATTTCTGTGTAAACCAACTTTGCAAAATGACCTTAGTACCCTTACATGCCTGTCTTTATGTTGTAATGTTATTGTTGTGTGTACTCCAGGCTCTTAAGATCTGTTAATAAAGAAGTCAGTGTTTATATATATATATATATATATATATATATATATATATATATATATATATATATATATATATATATATATATATATATATATATATATATATATATATATATATATATATATATATATACATACATATACATATACATACATATATAGACACACACATATACAGTATGTGCTTTGGAATACAGTATACATAATCTCATTTAATTAATTTTTGGTGAAATTGCTATTAATGATGAATAGAAACTGTTACTTTGAAGTAGATTTGTAATTTAGATTCTGAAGTAGATTACGGTACTGTACTTCTCATTAGTGTTTGTATTTTGTAGTTTTTATTTTTTATTTTTAGATCCACTTTGGATTAGTGTTTTCAATGTAACAGTTAATCAAAAGGAATATTGTACCAAGATTACCATACCTCCCCCCCCCCTCCATCAAAGAAAATGAAGTAAATCCTAACCAGATACCCAAGGGATTATCATAAGTAGTGAATGGCTGGTTGCATTAAGCACTTTCTTCAATTGTGAATAGTGTGGGTGAGAAGGTTGGCAGTGTTAGTGTATCAAGGTTTTCAGAGAGCAGATATGGTTCCCTGATGAGCTGAGTTCTTCCAGTCTATGAGATTAATGCTCTAACTGTTGTTTATAAATTGATTAGAATCCTTTTTAGAGCAGCTATATGTCGAGAATTGTTTTAGTTGAATATAATTTGTTGAATAAAGTTGGGGTGGGTTTTTTCCTCCAAGAAGAAATAACATTTCCCTGTGGAAAAGGGTATATGATAATGAGACCAGCCATACTCATTATTATAGACTTGATGAGGGTGAACATAACTTTTTTGTATGGATATCAAATTATTGACAAGCTTGAGTCTTTATATTGGCTGTGTGATGTACTTGCTGATGCCTAATATTTCATAAGGGCATTGCTACTTGCTCTATTTTTTAGTATATTGAAAATGCCAGCTTTTACCCCAGTACTGTATAGTGATAATTAATGCCTTGAACAATATGCTTCTGTTTTACTAAGTAGATTAAATTTACTGATTAATTCACATAGGGAGAGGTTTTGGTATTTTGGAAGTTCTTAATTTATATGTAAGGCTTCTATTCCTTGGGTGTCTTAAGTCAGTTTTTTGAGTTTTGAGGAGAGCTTCTTACATGAAAATTAGGGCTTTTAAGAAAGATATATTTTATATTATTACAAGGAACAAGTTTGGTATAGCTACATAAAACTTTCCTTTAACCCAAGCCAAGTTTAGATGGCTTTGTATAGTACATTTGTATGAGATGTTCCAAGTCTTCACTTTGTATTTTGGGAAATTTAGATAATGTGGAGCAGTGGAGTTAAGATTTACACTCAGAGCTGTTGAGGTAAATATTTAAGTGCTGTGCTTTGATTCATATGTAGAGCTTGATTGCTTTTGTCTTAAAATGTAGGCTATTTTTTATACTTTTTAATTTTTTTTATATATTATAGGTGGAAAACTCAGAATTTGAAGAGCTTTCATTGAATGTATTATTTGTTTGGATTTTTTCTTTTACATTTGGTTATAATTAACTGTTTAAAGGTCATTCCATGTGTGAAATGACAGGGAGTTTTATGTTTAAACTGTTAACTTTTACCATTAAGTGTACTGTAGGTTTACATGCCATGTTTATCGGTAATATTCTGTGAAAAAATTTTGGAGTTCGTGCGCTTCCATATTAATTGTTACAAGTGGAATTGTATTAGAGCATTTTTATTTTTTTTTATTTTTTTTTATTTTTTTTTTTGGAGTAATTTTCTGACTCCATTTTTTTAGGTACAGGTGATGATGCTTCAGGTGTGTTGTTTGGGAAGGTGGTGTTTGTGTGTGTATAATGTTATATTATATTCAGGTAGTTATACAAAGATATGTACCAAACTTATTTTGTGAGATATATGCTGATCTTATTTTGTAAGATATTATATACTTCGTAAAGTAAAACCTATTTGAAAAAGAACTGGTGTACTTGAGTATGGCAACATTACACTTTTCTTGAGGAAGTGTGTTGGAGTGTGTGTGTGTGAGTGAGAGATGAAGAGAGAATAATTAATCAGTGTTAATGCAGCCATGTTTAGAATGGTGATTTTGTACAGTTGTAGCCAAGGAAGTTGCCTTTAAATGTAGACAAATATTTCTCAAGGATTGGAAACGATTAAGGTATTTTGTCTGTTATTAGAGATTTTTATATTCATTTACTCTTAGGTTGTAATTCATCTATGAAGGACAATTAGATATTGAGTCTGGTTTATGGTAATTAATCCTCACTCAGATTAAGAGTTGGATTAAAAATTGACAAGTCCAAATTGTGTTTATTGACTTGTATTTATTAATAACAGGTACCTTGGTTGTCTTTGTTGTCATTATGTACAAGTTGAAAATGTTCTCAGTATCTTAGAGCAAAAATTACATGCTCAACCTTTTTCATGTTTGGTAATATTTTGGGATTCTCACACAAAATCATTATGCTCAGTTTCTATCGTGTGTTACCAGAATCAGTGCCAGACATGCTTTATTATATCCCATTTCTCTTTAATTAGTAAATTGGTAGATATGAAAATAAGTAGATAGGAGAGGCATTGTCTTTATTTTTATGGTGTACATTACATTACAGTAATTCATAATCAGTAGTGGATGATGAGTGCTGCAGTTGATGATGATAGACTGATAGGTGATAAAAGCTAAGTTTTCTCTCATTTTATTTTCCTTTGGGTTTGTCCCGATTATGTAATATTTTCATTAATTTTTTTTTCTTTTGTAGGAAAACTTGCATTAATCTAATTTTTCAGACTCCGTAATGCAAAAGGAAATTACTAGGAGCAACTATTTAGTTCTTAGGTAATAGTGATTTGGAAGTTATGCCTTTGATGGATATTATTCCCCCAAGTTTACTTTGTGTTACTCAGCCAGTTGTTTTAAGCGTTGAGATATATGTACAGCTTTTTTGATTCTCTGGTAGGTGATTGGTGCACGGTATTGCACAATGTTTGCTTCACTACACCTTGCTTGTATAAGGCTTTTTCCCATTATTGAACACCCTGCCTGAGTTTTGTTTTGATACAAGTTCTAGGAAAGCTTCTGTTTTAAGGCTTGTATCTTATACTTCGTTAAGCCACAGCTATAAACAACTACATTATAAACCATCCAAGTATTTACAATTGCTCAGTGGTGTAACTGCCATATATATGTATATTGTCATGCTTATTAGTAAATTTAGGTTTAATTTTATGTGGCCATTTTGATTTTCTCCTAAGTTTTTGTATGTTCTAGTGATTTCTTATATTTACACACCTGTATAATTCCAGCTTAGAATAGATGAAGCTCCTACATTTGGGTATATTTTACAAAATGCATTTAACCATCTTCAGTGTTGTGTGCCTTTTTGTAAATTGAAGGCCTGATCAGTTTTGTCCGACATACAGTAATTGAAAAAAATAAAACGGTATTCATAAAAGGTCTTCTTTGAGAGTTAAAAATCCTTTAGAAAAACTTGAAGGCTGTAGTTTTGCTAGCGTAACATTGATTAGGGCTTACAGGTGAAAGCTTTTATGCATAAGTAATATGGACAAATACTGTATACCTTAATTTGTGTTTAGAGACTGTGCCAACTACTGTTGTGGGACTGTATCATGTCCAACATTATCAGATTATGAAAGTAGTTGGAAAGCTAGCATAACCACTACTGTATAGTGTCGTGATTTATAAGTATAATTCCTCCACAAAGAATCTTACTACAATGTGTGCCTATATTTGTGAACAAAGTAGAAAACCCAGCATCCTCAAGGTGGACTGTCAACCTGTTGTAAGTTAAAATTATCAACCAAGAAAATCTATCTAGAAAGAGTAGTGGCTGCTTCTAGACATTGTAGCACTGTCTATGAAATTGTAATGAATTAGTACAACTTGTAATTCAACAGATTCAGTACATAATATTTTGGGGAAGTGCAGTATGCATGTTGTACCAGAGATTTAGTACTAATTTATTTTTTAATCACGCTCTGCAATATTCTATATAAATATTTTACCAAAATGTACGAAAGAAAAGAAACGGAGGAGTCTGTGGAGGGAAGAATGTTAACTTTTGGAATTGTAATACAGTATTGAGATCATCTCATTAATGTGCTGTCTATATGTATTAAGCCAGGTATAGAGAACATTGTATGAAAAACAAATAAAAGCATTGAAAATGAATGAAATCTTACTTTGCATGGTGCTTGAGATGCCTGGCTGGTAGAGGAGGAGTCTGTGTCAGGAGACCGTGATGGAGAAGGCGGCAACAGTTAATGTCAGATGTACACTCACCACGTTTGTCATTTTTTATAACCTCTGAATTCACTTCTAAAGGGATATCTTTACTCTATCTTTTGCTACCTAAACTACTTTTATCACTGAATGTTTCTCACTCATTTTTAATAATGATTACAAAGTTTGAAATCAACATAAAAACTTCCACAGGGAAAAGTAGCACAGTATTGTACCGCAACTTACAATGTGAAACAAAGAGTGACCGAGTGGGCTGCTTCCAAACTGCATGTGCACATCGGTCTCCCCTCCACACTGCGCAACTCACTGCATGTCTTGTTGGCAACTGTGGTAACTGAAAAAGCAAGCTAAGTTGAAGATATATTTTTGGTTCACCATTCAGTATCAACACTTTTGTCGGCTGATGACGTTATTTGTGTTACTACACGGACCGTTAGAAGCGAGATGTTACCCATGACCCTGAGTGCTCTTCTTTTATCTTTATAACTAAAAAAAAAAAAACAAAAAAAAAATGGTAAATTAAACAATAATTTAAATGAAAATTCTATGCTTTGGATCGGCCGGTCTACTGGTGAGATTTGGTCTGGGTGGCAAAAGGCTTAAATTGCATTAAGGTGAATTTGCAAAAGTCGAACACACGTAAGTTGAAGGTTAACCGTACTTGGAATTCATTAGTGTTTGAAACTTTCAACCATTAAACATTGCAGTCATGGGATGCAATGAATAGATGTAAACTCCAAGTTTACAGTTGCTAAATTAACAGCTGTGGCACTAAAATATGTGACTAAAGGTATGTTTGATTAAGTGTGAGATCAGGTTGTACATATAGTCCATTCTGTACTACAGTACTTGTTAATTTCTGGATTAATGTGGAAATAATGTACCCTGTACTGTAATTGATGTTCTACTACCATACATGTGGCCTGCCACTGCAAACATGTTGGAGGCTGCATTGGATGTTTTCCTGGTACTGTACACATTCAAGTATGGCCAAGATCATTACAACACTTAATTTTGAGTATTTCAAACTTTTTCATGTTCTTCATGAAGAGGTCTATCACTTAGTACTATTTCTGCTAAATATATTATGTACTCGCTATTTTGAAGCTTCATGCTTCAAGTGTTGTCCATTGTCCTCCATAATAAAGCAGAAATGGACATAGAACTATTATTTTAGTAAATGCCATTTATATCCATGACCTTATGTCTACATAAGTGTTGCCAGATGATTGCTATCAATGTCTTTCCAAATACAGTATACTGTAGTAAGCTCAGTGTCATGTCAAAGTCCATGTAGGTAGGTAATAGAGGTCAGGGAATTCCATAAATATTTTAAACATGTGGAAAATAATATCACAAGAACAGCTGTGAGGCTTTGGATTAGTCAGAGGCAGTCATGTGGTGCATGTCATCATGGCTTGTATCATGTCTGGTATCTTTTCCAAGTTAGTTTTAATGTTTCCCCAATGATATTTGTTTTCTGATCTACTGTGGTCTTTTATTACTGAAGATACTCAGGAAATGCTCATATCTGAATGCAAATACTGCTGAGAAATACCGACTATTTTCAAAGCTCTATTTTTAATTTGTGGATTCCTAGTATTGTACTGTTTAATTCATTTTGCCATATATATACAGTATAAAGTATATCTAACCTGTATTCATATCCTTTTAAAGTTAGGTACTCTTTCAAATCATAATATGAGCTCTACATAAAGGTACTAGTAATTAAACAATGAAATTTGGTGCATTATGTCTCGTTTTGTGGTGGCAGGTAACGTTGAAATTCGTGGCTATGTTTAACATCCCTATGATTGCCTTTACTGACTGACTGATTGACCCCTGAAATAAGTGTTGTCCCTTGCCTGCTTGCATAATGCTGCCAGCCCAGTGCTAAGTGCAGCTATGGTCAACCTTTATAGCTTTTTATTGAAGGGTGTATTCATAGTTCATGTTGAAAATTTTAACCATACAGTACTTTTAAAACTACCCTGTATCCTGATCCATCTGTTGCATTGAAGTTATGAATTAATGTACTACCTGTATTAGGTAAAATTAGAGTAAGTTAGATTTAGTAATTGTAAACATAACTATATACAGTATATATATATACAATGTACGTCAAGGTTGCAGTGTATTTTGGTTGAAGTTCCAGGTGAATTAAACAAAGGTCTCTGCCAAAAGCCAGGTAAAGGCCCTGGAAAAAAAGGATGAAAACAAGAAAACTTGCTTAAGTACAGATAGATTAAGGTATCCTGAGGAAAAAGCATTTCATATACAGTATATATTTCATAATTAGGATTTTATTTATCATATATAGAGACACCAATAGACAATATGTGCAACAGGATCCAAGTCATAGGTTCAGTGTTTGGAATAAAGCTGTGACACATTCCAGCTTGTTAGGTTGACATTATTCATCCTTAATGGTGAGGCACAAAGCATTCAAGTAAGGTATTTGCCACCGACTCAGTAGTGGTGTGTATTCGATGATACAATTTAAAGACTTAATGTAAATCTGTATTGAATCAGATGATACAAAAATTAATTTATATCAATAGTGTGATATATCTGGACCTCAGTCTCTTCAGGGACAATGTCACTGGTATTTTTAAGTTAACCATGTTAGTGGGTTCAGTTCACAATGCTACAATATAAGTTTCAAAATTGTATCCCTATGGCCAGTGCTAAGCAGCAACATTTATTTGTAAAATTATGGGTATACTGTACATAGGAATTACAAAATGTACAGGTTCTTTCCCCAAACATTACCATTACCATACACACTGAAATTATCACTTGATCACATGTTCAGCCTAATTTTTTATAAGGCAAAAACAAAACAAAAATAAAAATAAAGAAAAAAATCCATTATAACATTAATCCTTCTTTTAGAGCTCAAACTGAGCTAATTTCACAAGTGGAAATTACTGTATTAAATTTGTTAATACAGTATCACCTAACTTCAAATACAGTAGTTTTGTTTCTTATTGGTTGTTGGAAACTCAAGTAAGTGGCAGTGGCTCAGTAGTTTCATTTAAATTTCAACAAAAACAAAGAGTGAAATTTTGAGTGAAGTGATCCATGTAAGGCCAAACAGCAGGATAAGAGACCTAAAGTTCTTTAACCTGGATACTTCATCAGAATTCACACATTAAGGGAGACACTGATGGGCACTTATTGAGGTCATTTGTGTGTTATTTGAACATTGATTTTAATTCTCTCAGCGCCAGCAAAGAAAGGAACTAATACACTGTAATAGAAAATCATTACCATTAGTTATATACTGTACTGTACATTTAAATTTGATTACCAAAACATTAGTGAGACCTAAATTAGTAAAATGCATTAGTGCGCTTTCATATGTTTTTCACAATTTACCCAGGTTTAAACATCATTGAAGTTCCTATTACTAATATGCTGTCATTGAAGAGCAGGTTTTGAAAATTGCTTATTACTGTATTATTTTTACGTTGAACGATAAAATCTGAGATGGTGATATTGTAAATAGTAAGTCATAAAAATAAAGGAAAACCTCATGTGAATGTGCTTTTTAATTTTTCCATTTGTATTAGTCCACATCAGTAGAGTGTGATGCCTCTTGAGAGTATGATGGTGCAGCTCAAATTTTTCCCTCCAGGTAATGGAAAGCTCTGGGGATTAAAGATTTTGGCTAATGGGTATACTGTACTGTATTTTGTGTGATTGATTCTTCACAGATGAAGATAAGTAACCAAAGGAAATCATATATTGTACTGTATTTTCTGAAACTCCATGATACCTTTACATTCCTTTCAGATATGAAAGCAGTAGTAAGAGGTCCCCATAATTTTACAGTAATACCCTCTCTTTGTGGCCAAGTTCATTTACACAAACTTTTCTTAATTTTATCCTAACAATGTAAGAATCTTTACTCACTTTCCTTCATCATATTAAAAAAGTTTATTCAAAAGCATAATTTGAGATTTGTTACCCTTTTATGGCACCAAAAAACATCATTTACTTAGCTCTAGTTCTGTATCAAATAGATATTCTAACCCCTTCACTACAGGGATGCCATTTTTAATATAATTATTTGGCTAATGGCAGACGATTTTATTCAGCAGAGAGGTGACCCAAAACACAAGGGGTTAAATGTAAACCAAATTAATATCCTTGGACATTTTACAACATATTCTACAGTCATCTGGATGTGGAAGTAAAACCAAGATTATGAAAACACTGAATAGGTAAGCTTTATTAAGGTTACCTTGGAGAATAATATTTACAGCTTTTCACAGTTTTCTCCAAAAAATTTTATACAGCATTTAAAAATAGTGTTTAATTTAGATACAATGGGTAAAATTTATATACCATAATTATCAGAACAATGGCAAATTGGTAAGAAATGAAAATGTATTTGGAGAAAAGGTTTTAGTTTCTCTACTACACAATATTTTCAATTGTACCCAAGCAATTTATTGTAAAACACTGGGTATGTGAAACACTCTGTATCAAGGTATATTTGCTGGGAAGATACAGCATACATATTGGGTGCCCATGGTATAGTTTCTTTCGCTATTTTACTTGGTAATACAGGCTGCACTTCCCCTGGCTTTATCTTTAATGAGCGTGTGGTCAATGGATGGATACCAACAAATACTGCAATGAACTGGTCCTCTAATTCACTGTAATATATACGAAATGGATACCGACGTGCCATTGTGAAAATTCCAATGCATATCAAAGCATTAACAGCTATAAATACACTTGTTTCTAAAGGCGATTCCATAACGATATCAAAGTTAATGATTGGTGTAACGGATAAAGTCGAACATAAGACCGCAGTTACAGCTGCACTGGCTAACTGTACCCCACCAAGTCCTAGTTGTAAATATGAAATAGAGTTACCGGAATATACTAATTCATAATGAGAGTCTACATTATCAATCTTTTGTATTTCCTGAATCGTCTTACGTTTACGAAATGAAAAGAAAGTTCGGTTGTGGATTTTACTTGCAGGATTTTGAAAACATAACTGTTGTAGTGTCTGTCCCTTTATAATGGTTCTTGAGCACTGTGGTGTGGCATTCCTTTGTTCCACAAATGTACTGTGATGAAACCACTCTGCTCTGATAACTTGTTTAAAGGAAATGTGTGGGACTCTCTGCAAGTTGTATGACACTGGACATCTTAGGGAGTGCTTTGGTAGTAGTAATGGGAGAGCTTTCTTTAACAAGGTCATATTTGCCATGATTCAGCACCTGAAATGTTAAATAAGGAATGTTAACCTCACAAGATATTTCATAACACCACATGTACAGTTATGTATCTCAAAAAAGTATCTACCAGGATGGGTCTGATGACTTCTGAAATGCTAAGTGCAACTCGTGATGTCCTGGGAGGGTTGGTATGAGTGGCTCGGTGGTAGTACAGGATACTGATCCTCCTATATTTGGTAACCAAACATCATATTAATTATGCCAAAATAAATACACATTCCATTACTTATGTTAAACTATATACCAAAGTATGTAAATTCATGTCCCAATATATATCATCCATAGTCTCATGTTTCACACAGTGTGGACAGATACTTTTTTGAGATATTGTACAGTCCATACTGTATAACAATATAACGTGATATGATATTGTGACACTTCTCAGTCTCACTCTCACATATATTGAGGATCTACCGCATTCAACATGAATGATAGTTTATTATATTTTATATTTCTAGAAACTGATTCCCAAATGCAAAAAAAAAGAAATTTTAATGGAAGAGTTTACTTAAATTTTGATACAGTATTGTATTGTAGCATAGGATACAGTACCCTATACAGTTACTGAATTACCGGTAATCTCTTGTATTTTATTGAGTACAGTATTGTACAGTACTACCCTCTTTAGAAATGAGAAAAAAACATAATGTACAACTTTGGGTGTATTTACCCACATATATTATGATTATACTGTAATATTCTTTTTGTAATTGAATGTAGGTATAATGATTTCAGGGATTACAAAACAAAAATACTGTAGCATGATTTCTACCAATACATGAACATAGATGTCAAAAGAGAGAGAGAGAGAGAGAGGAAAAATGGAATAGACTCTTATGACTATGGGCTGAGGCACCACCAGGGTCTGTGAATATATAATACAGTTGGAAGTGTGGTAGCAAAGGAAATAGAAATGGACATTGGGAATTTTACATACATTAACCAAATTCGAAAAAAATGTTAAGTTCTATTTGAGTTGTATTTAAACAAATAGCAAATGTTGGACTTGTCATGAAGATTAGGAACCCCTGCTATTTACCTGATGAGTATACACCTTAATGATAAATGGGAAGATTAGGTTATGTTTGTTAGGCTAGGTTAGAGTTAGTTAGGTACAGTTTGGATAATTTGTCTGCCAGTTTTATTAAGTGTGGTCTTGCAATTTCCCTAGAAATAAACTATGGGAAAAAATGTAAGAGAGTAATCTTGTGCTGTTCAGTATTTAATATGTGTAGAATCACACACCTTTGTTATGTATAGAAGTATCACACTACATTATACTGTATATTCAATTATTACAGTAAAAGAAAAAATGCCTGCGTAACATACAAGGCTCAGGGGTGAATGTGGACTGTATTCAAGGGAAATAAAATAGAAGGCAATTATTCGTTTTTTGCCCATTCCCTTTTTTTATCTGAGAAATTGTTTTTCTAGTGTATTTTGGTGTGTTTTAGTCAAATATGACTTTCATTTCTTGTGCGAATGAGCCACTTTTTTCTAGAAAATCGACCTAACCTTACTTAACCATGATGCTTCAACAAAGTTGCTTTCATTGGTACCAGATCTCAAAATAAGTACTTTCTGTTTAACATGGTGGGGAGTCCAGAGGACACAGGCCATTGGCTAGGAAGTTAGGTAGGGTTAAATAGGTTTCTTTGGTTGGTTAGGTAAGGTTCTCTTAGGTTCTAGTAAATGTCGCCTCTTTTAAAATACTTACTGTACTATAATGATAATAACATCTGTGGAAAAAAGAACAAAATCAAACAACTCCTTCTGGTGTTAGCCATCTCTTCTAATATTACCTCCTACTGGTTAGTTTCCCAGCCTAATCAAAGGACCTTACAGGTAATAAGCTCCTGATGGCTCAGTCGGCTATCCTTGGTTGAATTTCTTGACTGTTGACCTGCACTGTATACCTGTATTTTTCAGTTTTGTACAACAATGGACCTTTTATTCCAAAATGCTTTTTTTTTAAGGCAGTGGAAACACACAACAATACACGCACAAAAAAAAACACTTTCTAGAATGAAGGCAAAGCCCAAATTATGAAATACGAGTACAGTGATCCCTCGGTTAACGAGCGCCTCGGTTAACGAGACTTCGGTTAACGAGTTACCTTCCATAAGATTCTTAACTTCGGTTAACGAGCAATCCCTCGATTAACGAGTTTTTTATGAGCCGACCTCAACATGTTTTCGCTTGCATTTGGCGGTCCACCAGCTGTAGTATAAGTCCGCCAATACAGTAATCGGTTTTACGGCTTAAATTCCTTACTATTTTAGTAAATATCAAGAAGTTTATACTATTCAATAATTTTAAAAGTTTAATATAAAATTTTTTAGTCATTTTAACAATTATTGAACATAATTGAAGGTAAGAAAACTAGTTTCATGCGAGCCATCCAGCCTGGCAACACACCAAACAGGTGCCAGTCTCTGTCTTTTCAGTGGAGGTAACATCTTGCTTGAGACTCCAACTAAATGCTTTTTTTCTGTGTTTGCAAGCAAATTATTGGTCATTTTGAAATTCATTTTACATATTGACAATATATAATGCAGTGCAGTGTTGATTTAAAGAAAATAATCTTGAATTACACCAAGAGAACTAAAATTTTATGGGTGAAATGGCGTCATGGGGTGACTTCTCTTCCACCCCAATGCCTTCTCTTCTCCACCCCCATTCTAATTCCCATCATCATCATCATCCAGGAGTCTTCTACATACTCACCTCAAAGTAAGTGTACTTTTCTACCTTTTTTGTTGAATTTAGGCAATTTTCGGTGAGCTGGAACCAATTACCCAAAAACCCATTGAAACAATGGTTTCGGTTAACAAGTTTTTCGGTTAACGAGCAACCTGCTGGAACGGATTGTGGTCGTTAACCGAGGGACCACTGTATATTTTGGCTAAAGTTGGCTCACGTTTTCTGCTTTTAATGAGTAAAAAGTAATTATTTACGACTTTTGAGCCGCCGATTTTTCGTAGAAAATTAATTTAAAAAAGCTGCAATTTCACTGCAATTTATAGTGGACACTGCCATAATTACGGCAATTGTGTTAAAAGGTGTTTATTTATAGGTTCAAGTTAACCTACCCTAAACTTAACCTAACTTAGCATAATATAACACCTGCTGTGGGCGTACTTGCTGTTACTGAAACGGGGGGAAATTGCTGTGAAGTCAGGGGTGGATCCAAGGGGAAGTCCTGGGGGTCTGGAACCCCACCCCCCCCCCCTTTTCATCAGAAAATTCCTCTACTTTTTCTTTAACACATTTGCACAAACTACAACAGTGTCCACTTTAAAAAACAGTGAAATTGCAGCGTAAAGAAATTCCCAAATTATGAAATCCTAACCTAACTGATAAATAAACTTACCATATTCAGAATCAGAACCCTCCTCTTCTTCATCACAAATTTGTTGGCGAGCTCTTCTAGCTGTCTTAGATCCATGAGGATACAGGCGTGCAGCTTGAAGAAAGAAGTGATGCTGAGGGGAGTCTTGATGTTGGCGAATGAAAAGGTAACGGGAGAAATACTGTTTAAAGTAGTGAGGGCTAAGTCCGGGTCCCTTCATCCACTCACTCAGGTCTCTACATAGGTGCTCAATATTCTGTGTGTGAATACTTGTGTCTTCAGGGTCCACAAAATTCTCATGATGGTTAATCACACAGTGTTTGTAGCCTTCGTTTTTCAAGCTGTCACATGCTCCCCAATCGTCACTGTGAATTTCACTGCCTGGAAGGATGTATTTCTTGATAATGGGGATTAGAGTGTGGTCCCACGTCTTCTGTACCAGTGGTTGACAAACAGCACTATTTTCCAAGGCTCTAGGTGGGTCCCTTGAAGGAATGTACCCTTGTAGTCACTGATACTGAAATTACATTGGTTCCTCTTCTTCGCCTTGGCTATGGCTTTCCGACGACCACAGTACCAAACGTGCTTATCTTTCCTCAAAGTACACTGTACTTTGCCTTTAGGACATTCCATTGAAGTTGGTAGAACACTGTGACGTCTCAGAAAATCAACAGCTATATCACCATGGCCTAAATATTTTACGATAAACTTCCAGTAATTGTCACTACAACCAGCACATGGGGATGATGCAGAAGCCAAGTTGAACTTATTCAAAATCCTGCGATGATCATTATTATTCATCTGCAACAGAAGTGTATTAAGAAAAGTTACGGTACCCAAAATAAAGATTATATCTAACACGTGCTAAAATCCCGGATTCCATGGTTGTAAAAAACTAAATAATACCTTTAATATAAAAATTATGTGTCATTATAGACTTGGACGACGATTTTATTGAAGAAATATCTGTATCTATCAATCCAAGAGACCATTACCTACATCAAGGCCTCAGCGGCTCCATGTCTCGTCTACCTCTGTTGTTCACACTACATATTTTCCAACTGTAAAATATATCTAAGAGAAAGAAGTAATATTATCCTTTGAAATATGTATTAATTAGTTTTTGAAATTAATAAAAGGTAAAATATGCCTTTATATGATCATATATTTATTTTTGTTCAATAATTACATCTAAACACCCAACCACCCTTCTATAGTGGCAACACTGGTGGCCACACTGTCACAGTAAGTTCACACATATTTTAACCAATATTCTCTAAATGTATGAGAATAAATGTGTTTAATCAAGTATGTAGAGAGCTAATAACCACAGGTGTTTTGATTACATGAGGTAGAACAGTGTGTGGTAAGTAATAGTTAAGTAGGAGAGGGTTAATGGTGTGGCCGGTGGTGATGTGCTGGTGGACGTGGGGTAATAATATGTACGGTATGTTGTATATTCTCGTTAACATTTATCTACTTAATAGATTGTAAATGACGTTTCCACAAAGGATCGTCCAATTCCATCGATCTCTGGTGTTATTCTAAAAAAAATATAAATGATAACCGGAAAAATAGCCACAGCCTGTAATATGTTCTGGGTGTCTTTAAGGGTGTTCCTGTAGCTCTGTTTCCCTACATCACGAGGAATAAAGTATGAAAATTAAAATCGATAATGTTCTAGTTTAGGATTGTCTATTTGATGTTCGCTTTCTTTATGATTTTTTTTTCTTATGTTATTTTTGCCATACAGTATACTAGCTGTTGGGTGGTCATCTGTGATTTCTTAGTTGGTAATTTATGAGGAGCTTCTACGAAAAACAGAGTCCATGGATTGCAAATCAGAGTGCACCAGCAGCCCACGTTTTAGCATTTTTATAGATTAAATAAAGATTTTAAATGTTTGTTTGGTGTTAGTTTACTTACTTTTTTACTTTTAGTTATATCCTCTTCACCAAATGATCGGCTCGTTAGCCGCTTGGGCGATCGGTCACGTCTCTGTTACACACTGTTGGCAGGTACTGGGCATGCACCAGCTTCTGAATGTACCTGAACCTGCTTCAGTGTTGGTCAAGTCTTGTTTTGACAAGGCTCACACTCGGTGCCGTCACAACACTTTCTGGTAGATTGTTCCAAGAGTTTACAACCCTCACTCCGAAGAAATTTGCCCTCACAGTTTTCTGGACTTGCGGCTTCTTCAATATTGAGCTGTGACCCCTTGTGGGGCGAGCGTCTGCCAACTCCAAGTAAGGACACTCGACTGAGTAGTACCCCTTGAGATGCTTATACACCTCATTTAGGTCGCCCCCTGCCCGTCTGTAGTTTAAGCTAGGCAGGTTCTGGTGCCCCAATCTCTCAGGGTAGCTGAAGTGCCTTAGTGCAGGCACCAGTCTGGTGGCCTTCCTTTGGACACTTTCAATCAACTGACAGTCCCTAGCATATCTCGGAGACCAGATGGGTTGACAGTACTCCAGTTGGGGAAGCACTTTACTCTTGAAGATCGTTATGAGGGATGGACTATCGAGATATAAACGACTTTCTTATAAGACCTAATAATTTAGTTGCCTGATTTACCTTCTTCTCGCAATGACCTGAGAACTTCATCTCATTGTCACCATACACAACAAGGTCCTTTTCACATTGTCTCAATTAATGCAGTTTCTTCATCCCGATATTAACGTACTAAAATCAGCTGAAAAAACCTGCGGCCATAAAGTGAAGTACAGTATTCCCAGTATTTTAAGAGAGACGAGAATGTTTTATTTTAATTATACCTGTATAAGTATTTTTTTAATTATTTTTCTCTATGATCATAAATCACTTGTATTGGGCAGGGCCTGAAGGATGAGGGAAATTGCACGTTAAGAACACAGTGAAAATCTGTTCATGTGACACTTGAATCAAGTCTATGTGCTCTGTATGTGATACCGTAAATAATTCACCAATAATTCTGGCCTGTTGGTGCAGGTTCTCCGATTGTAAACAATTAAATTGTGAATCTGGTCTCGTTTGAATTGTCCATAAACGATGGAGTGTCATATCAGGGATTTTACTACCTTTATTATAGGTTTGAATGACTCCCCCCTTTTTTTTTAGCCTTCACTATCCAGTTGTGTGTTGATGACCTGCAAAATTTCCATATATTTTTTTTTCCACTCAGTTGGCTCTTAAACCTATTCATATTGTAAATTACAAGGATCATATTGTTGGAATCAAAACATTGGATTTTAAGTGAATTGTATATTCATATTATATACCAGTACTTATTGTTCTTCCTCAAGGAGGAGAACTGAGGGAAAAGTTGTGTTGTTTTCAATGGCGTCCTTATCACGTCATGTTTGGTAACGTGTCACGAGTTATCTGCATTTATATTTATTTATTTTTTCTCAGACTTGAATTTCAGGTTTGGTTCTTTAAGTTTCTATATTATTTTGTCTTGTTGGTTTAGGTTTGGTTTACACGGGGTAAAGTCAGGTCCTTCTGGTACCTCTGGGTAGGATAGGTTAGACATCTATACAGTGCCTGATATTTGAAAGTTGTTAGGTTAGGTTCTTGATGATCTTGTTTGGCAAAAAATTATTTCCTCCACCATTTTTTGGAATGTTCTTGATAAAGTGAAAAACTTTTTTCTATTAAAAAATGACATAATTTGGCACCTTAACCTGGACACCTGTTCGTATATATTACACTTTATTTAAGTTTTTCTGAAATGGTTAAGTTTTGTGAGGTTTGCTTTCCTTAGTTTTTGTGTTTTTACCCCAAAATTTCCTCTACTTCAACCCCTGCCCACTTTGTGTGATCAAATTTGCATTTTTTTAGTTAAATCAAATACACTACTGTATTGTACTGTAGTGGAAAAAAAAACATTATAGAGTAAAGTATACTTTTTTTGCTCTACTGTATCTCCTTACATGCAAATGAGTATAGAGTTCCATGGTTGACCTTTTCCAAATCTTTTCCACAATCTTTTCTGCTAGTTCTGTCCTTTTTCTGTGATCTTGGAAATGTACTGGCTATATGTTGCCATCTTTATCTATTATCTTACAGATAATTTTATGGTTCCTTTGTTATCTCCAGGACTTCATCACGCTCGGGCTGTAGACAACCATCATAATGACGTCCCGTTTCTTCATGTCCGACTCCGAGTCGGAATCGGAGTCAAGTGAAGAAGAAATTATTAATGAGCAAACTGGCATTTCTGCGGCAGCATATGTGGTAAGAGTTGAACTTGCCGTGACATTGTATTGAGTAAAGAGCTTGTGTGGTGTGTTGATTTGAACTCCTGTTGTATGTACTGTACTATTGGGCAGATATTATTTCATTTGTTATTACAAATACAGTACTGTATTGTACATCCTGTATTATTGTGGCAAGGTGTATAAAAACTTCATATTACTTAATCCTTCATACCCTAGTCAGTTTATTCCTAACAGTACTGTAGGAGTTTTGTTGCAATTGTATCTCCATTTATCATAATGTTTCAATGCACAAAACTGCTTCACTCAGGTATTTTCCATTACCTAATCCCTGGGCTGGAGAATCAGTGCAAACAAATAAGTAAATTTATGGTGATGAGCTAATTGTACTGATTAGTAAATATACACGAGGTACAGTAATGTATTGTTAACTAGGGCTGTAGATGAGATGTCAATAAAGAGAAGCCTTAGGACAAGTAGCAATAGCTTGATTGTTTATGAAATTTCATAGCAAATGTATATTTTTTAACAGTTCAGTGAAGATGAAGAAGACACCAAACGTATCGTTCGTTCTGCCAAGGAAAAACGTTATGAGGAGCTCAAAAACATCATCAGGAGTATCAAGAACTATAAGAAAAATAAAGACATGTCCAATTTGCTCTCAAGTAAGTGCTCCATATATTTCAATCATGGAATAAAACTGTTAAAGCTTAGAACATATGAGGCACTGGGGTGGATGATGACGAATCAACCAAAACTGCAAATCAAGATAATCACTTTTAAAGTTTTTCATGATTTTTTTTTTATTATGAAGTTGTCATTTGATAGAGGAACTACTGTATAGTACTTTACGATGGTGCAAAAAATATTTACAGTGTTTAAACCTAAGTACTGTATCCAAAAATGCCATTTTATGTAAACATGTCAAGTTAAGATTTCTAAAATAATATTAAACTCATGTAAGATGGTACAGTACTTTAAAAAATCAGTAATATTTGGTGGAACACTCACCAGCCCTGATGTTGTGTTGATGTGTATGATTATGGAGAGGGGGGTGTAGATTAGTACTCCAGCACAGTAATATACACAGGAACTGAGACCCCCCCCCCCCCCTGACAACACACCCCTGCCTCCTAGCATGAAAATTGGCTTTTGAAACCCACAACCCTTATTGCAATGTGATTCTGATCTTTTATTTTATTTTTTTATTTTTTTATTTTTTGCATAATGTAGTATTACTGATAAGTAATTTGTCTTAGTATGTCTTATTGTGGGTAAAAATAAGTACATATATTAAATGCGTCCTCTGAAAGCGTGAATTTGCTTCCAGAGTTTAACAGTTAATTCATGCATAAGTTTTCTGATAAAGTTCCTACATATTCTTGTTTGAAATAATGAATGTGTGTATCTTTCTATAATTTCGCTAAATTTCTTTCTCTTCAGAAACGGTCATCCCAACGACTATAAATAAACTCATTTAGAAATACACATCATTACTTCAGGACAAAATCGGACAATTTGCAACAGCCAATCAGCTGTAACTCTTGAGGAGGGGGCGGGGCATCTTTTCTCAGCTGGGAAAAAACACACATTGTAGTAGACACCAGAGAACCCACATCACTTGTTTTCTTATTATCTTTTATTTCCACTTCATGTTCAGGGGTTCCTTGGGTGGGGTATCATGTTTTGTTTTTCTTATTGGCTGCTTTGATCTCTAAACCCACACCCTACTGTAAATTACATACATGTATTTGGAGTTTAGGAGCTTGATTGGTTTTGTTTGGCGTGCTCCTCTTGTATGGCGGTGTTACTATAATTACATTTCATGATAGTTCCATATCTGTTTTGTTCCAGTGTAAACAACCAAGATAACAACTATCTTGGTTGTTTACATTATAAATGGTTCATTAATGTGTAAATACATAATGGGATAAAGAATATCTTAAGATGAATTATATAATGAAAACTGGCTAGCTGGCTCTCTAAGGCCAAGTGCTTTATTCTTCTCTCAAAACTCGAACCTTTTAGTACTGTATAGTTCAGCATAATCCTGGCACAGTAGTTCTATTAATCTCTATACATATGATAAAAAATCCAGTATTGTAATTCCAATTGTATTTAATGTGATGCTGATGTAATGTCACTGAACAGAAATACAAATCCTGGCTGACATTAAGCCATATACTGTACTGTATATCCATCCTGCCTAGTTTATACACTGTTATACACACCCATTCCATTCCTGTATTTCTCCTGAACATACATATTGTAAATGCAGGTGTGAAGCATGACAGTGACTCCCAAGTTCATGTCTTTATTAGGTTTTGAGGACTTATGTCGTTCTTACACCAAGACACTGCCTGTGGTGCAGAAGGAAGAGGGAGGTAAAACACCCCGATTTTTCATCCGCTGTTTGGCCGAGCTCGATGAGTTTATCCAAACTGTCTGGGAGGATAAGGTTGGCAGGTATGTTGTTTATGTGATAATCTTGGTGTCAGTATTAGTTACGATTCTTTTGTTATTTCAGTAGATTTTGTAATTCATGCAGTAGTTGGTCACATACTGGGTAATGGATTAGATATTAATTTTTTAGTTATTCAGGTTGTTTGGGAATGCCATACTACAAGGTTAGGATTTGTCAGAAGTCCGTAACATAAATAATGCAGTACATACAATCAGTTTCTTAAGAGTTAACTTTGGAACTTGGTTATATGTAAATGCCACAAGTTTATGATTAGAGTTTTCTTGAGAAATATTGTTAACTGTGTACTAAAAATTTCCACTTCAAAACATGTCTTCACTAAGAAATTTCTGTAGATGCTGAAAATTTTCTTTGTACTGTACTGTAAAAGCTATATTTGATTTTAGGAAGAGCATGTCCAAGAATAATGCCAAGGGTCTGACAACACTTCGCCAGAAGTACAGGAAATATGCTAAAGAATATGACACTGATCTTGCTGTGTTCCGGGAGAATCCAGATCGTGCAGATTCTGATGCAGAGGTTGAGAAGGAAGACCAAGATGATGAGAGTGAGGATGAAAACAACCTCATGGATGCAGCAACATTTAAGAAAGAGTCTTCTGTTACCAAGTATGTTTCTAATTATTTTTAAACTTAGATTTCTTTCTTTCTTTTTACAACTTAATGGTATAGAACACTTGCCTGAGCTAGGAGGAACTCTGCCCTTTGCATATCTTTTATTTTTACTATACAGGACACAGTACAGTACTGTACATGATGCATTTCTGTGTTTAGTGGATGTCAGTTCAGTGGCCATTAATAAATTGAGATATGCCCCAGCCAATGATGTCATAAAGGGGGGCATTGTGTGGAAATTGAGTGAACCTTTAACAGGTATATTGTAAAAAAAGATTGTTTTATAGATCATTAAATAATCATTCTGTTTATTGTTTAATTAATTAATTTATTTTTATTTAGGAGTGCTAAAAAGTTCCAGAAGGGAAGCGATGATGAAGAGGACGATGATGATGACAGTATTGACTGGGGTCCCGACTCAGACGACGAGACTTCTTCATCTGATGGTGGTGGTGGTATGTTTCCTCTCAGGTGAGTAACACAAGCTCCTGCCATATAGTTGTGGTAAATAATTGTTTTTGTTTATGATACTGTCTGAAGGTTTTACTTGATTTGATTATGGTTGTCTTTATCCCTGGAATTTATTACTGTACTGTATTAATTTAATTTTACAGTATAGACAAAAGTTATAACTCAGGCTTATTGGATGTGAGAGTATGACAGTGGGTAAAGTCTGTTGTGATGTGCAGTAAAACCACAACATAGCACAACAATGGATGGACCTACAATGATCTTTGTTGTCATAAATACATTCACCAAAAATAATCTTTGAGGTTTTGTTTTAAAACTTGATCCGGACATTACAAAAACTCAGAAGCTACTGAGACTGGAGGCTGGGAGGTTTGCATGTGTGAGCAAGTGAAAGATAATTGCAAGCATTGTGGTTTTGAGTTCATGCACAGATAGCAGCAACCAGCCTATCTAACGTTGGACCTTTAAAATACCAAAAATCAAGGGACCCAGTCATTTGGGAAGGAATTTGGTGCCCCAACAAATGCCTCTCATAATTAGTTTTTAAAATATGGGTCACAGTTTTACATTACTACTCTTATTTAAATTTTTATTTAAATTTTTTTTTGTCCTTACAGGGAGAAGTTCTTAAAGAAGACGACTGATAGGGATGATGATGATTTGAAGAGAAAGAGAAAGAGATTGCCAAGAGAGAACAAAGCTAAGGATGAAGAGAGTGATGATGATGGTGGATGGGAGAAAGTGAAGAGAGGCTCGTCAATGCCTATGGTAAGTTTATGATCAATTGTTAGACCACAGTGAAAGCAATCTTTTATATCTGATTCAGTAGATTGTGTTATTTGTTGAGCTCGGTCAGGTGCTGAATGAACTTGTAGAACTGTGTGCATCTTTAGCCCTCACCCTGATGCCACAGTAGTGGAGGACCCTGATATATTCTTAATATTTCCCCTACCACATAATATGGAGAGATTATATGGTTACCCTTTATCAATATATCTTTCTCAATTTGCATGTTTTACGTCCATCTGTGTGAACAAGATTCCATTTGATAACTTGATCTGAAAAATTATATTGGTAAACTTGGACTTATTCTAGGTGTTACCATTGTGTTGCATTTAGGGAGGAAGATGAGGCAAGGGAGGCATAGGTGTGCTTGGAAAGTATGAATATTGACTAAGCAGGAGCTCAGGCCCAGGAACTCTGAGAGACTTGAGATGACAGAGGAGGTGGATATGAAAACTGGAAAATTTGATAATTGCATTGACGTGTGCTTTTCAATTTAGTTTGTTATCTATAGTGATGCTGAGGAGCTTGGTGGAGCTCACAATCTGTAGAGTTTTGGGGCCCAAAGTAATGGAGGGAGGTGGGACAAGGTTGAGGAGAGATTGATGTCCATAACCATGGTCCTGGTATGATTGTTGGTGGCCTGATTAAGGACTGATCACTTGAAAGTTTTGCTGATAAATCCCGGTGTAGTGAGGTTGGGAAGGAGATTGGGGGAGAAACTGATTGGCCAGGCTGCCAAGAGACACTAAGGACACGTCTTGACTCTGTGAGCGCTGAGACGTGTGTGTCTGTTTTGCTCATGATTCCAGCCACCCTGCACCACAAGGAGGAAGATATAGTAAGAATGGGAGAAAAATGCATGTGATAAAATTCTACTGATTGCAAAATTTTAGTGTGAGGGTATATGTGAATTTCAGTAATATGAAGCACCTGTAGTAACCTTTAAATTATATTGGAATGATTCAAATGGTGGGTTATATGTACTGTATATATTGTTGATGGTGACCATTAATTTTTAAAAAAAAATTTCAGGAGAAACCCAAGATGTTTGGCAAGGACGATGAGATTAATGTAAATTCTGTGCACAAGAAGTTGAATGAAATCATGGCAGCTCGAGGCAAGAAGGGAACAGATCGCAAAGAGCAGATTGAGCTCCTTCACGAGCTCTTGAATGTGGCAAGAGATAATACTCTTGGGCCTGCTATCTTAGTCAAGGTTCAGTTCAACATCATCATGTCAGTTTATGATTACAACCCTTCAGTGTCAGATCCCATGAAAGTGGAATTCTGGGAGAAGGTTAGTACAGTACAATTAAATACTTCAGGTGGCTAAATCTTAATTCTTGTATTTTAAGGAAAGTGTTTTTGTAGCTTACAGTTTTATTGGCACATTTAAAATTTATGTACAGTAATTAAAAAATAATAAATTTAGTTTGTTTATTATAATAAGAATAAGTGTTTTACAGATTCTTTTACTGTTTTCTTTGTAATCTATACATAAATTGGTAATGTGTCATGTAGGAAATAATGAGATCATGATTGTCCCATTTTGTGTCTTGATAAATCCTACATTTTCATCTGTTAGCAGTTGGTGATAGGTTAATATAGATGATAAATGAACCATGAACCAGAATTATTTTTCTCACAAATAATTTAAGCCTTTTTATTAGGTATTCAGTAAAGGGAAGTAGGAAGGGGATTGTTAACTGACAAAGGCAAGCATAGAGTACTGTTGAGTCGCTTCATTGTATTAACCTGGTCTTCCCATCCACCCCCAATAGGTCGTCCTCAAAATTGACGAACTATTGGACATGCTTATTGCTGACCCAGAACTAAGCATTGGGGAGCAAGTCACAGAGGAAACAGAAAGTCTAGAAAAGCCACCGCTTCTTGTCCGAGGCTGTGTCCTCACTATTGTTGATCGTATGGATGAAGAGTTCATCAAGCTGCTCAAGGTTGGTGCAGGTGCTCACTGAAATATTATTAAAGAGAACTTTAAAAATCTTTATGAAGGCAGAGTCCAAATTTTTTTATTCTAACTCTTTCTTTTACTTACTATAATATAAAGGAATGATAAAACCAACATAGACAAGTATTGCAATTTACTGTACTAGATGTAGGAACTGTATACATAATAAATCAAAGTAAAGGAACATAGGCAAATTTTATAATTACATAATACGGTATTTAATTGTTTAACGCTGATTTACTTCAGGGCCCATCTATATAGTTTTAAACCATTTAGTATGTGATCCACATTACTCTATTTGTTCATTTGTAATATTTGTGGATTAAATGTGTGAGAAATTTGGTTAAAAATGCAATTGTAGAAATATATATCTTGTACAGTACCTGTACATATAAAAGGCTCTGAGGAGCTTCTCAAAACTTATACTGTAATTATCGTACCTTTCTTTTTTAGGCTTGTGATGCTCACAGCAATGAGTATATTGTTAGCCTTCGTGATGAAATTCGCGTGTGTGCCATCATTAACAAGCTTTTGAAATATGAGGAAGAGCATGGAATGCCATCTGATATTTGCCGGGTGTATCTACGCAAAATTGAACATCTGTACTACAAGTATGAGCCTCGTGCTGCTAAGCAGACATTGGTAAGTTTGCTTATAAATCATTAACTTGTGAGTCACCACAGATATTTGACATCAGTAATTGCTTACTGAAAATGAATTATTATATACCTGGAATACATCCCTATCTACATTCTTTACGACCAATTGCTGGCAAGAGTTTTTCCTCATAAATGTACAAATTAATCCACTCAGGCAGGATTGTACAAATTAAAAAATAATAATTATACTGTACGTACATATATTAAATTTGCATTTTAGAAATGTTTACACTTTAAAAAGTCCAGGTACTATAGCATGCTGAGAGATACAGGCTTACATTGTTAGGTTTATTTTTGTTATTAATGAAATCACCAGAGAAAAAAACTCACAAAGATGGTACAGTACTGTATACTAGACATATGTAGTACATGATAGGTGAGAAAAGATAGACAGACAATAAGACATAAATGGGAAGGAGAAACTTTCTTTCATTTTTGTCTTCTCATATGTCAAAATTAGTAGTCGCACATTTCCATATATAGACAAAGTGATGTATTTGAACTGTGAATGGTGGTGAGAGAGATGGTTGGTATTTGAACTGTGAATGGTGGTGAGAGAGGTGGTTGGTATTTGAACTGTGAATGGTGGTGAGAGAGATGGTTGGTATTTGAACTGTGAATGGTGGTGAGAGAGATGGTTGGTATTTGAACTGTGAATGGTGGTGAGAGAGATGGTTGGTATTTGAACTGTGAATGGTGGTGAGAGATGGTTGGTATTTGAACTGTGAATGGTGGTGAGAGAGGTGGTTGGTATTTGAACTGTGGGTGGTGAGAGAGGTTGGTATTTGAACTGTGAATGGTGGTGAGAGAGGTGGTTGGTATTTGAACTGTGAATGGTGTGAGAGAGATGGTTGGTATTTGAACTGTGAATGGTGGTGAGAGAGATGGTTGGTATTTGAACTGTGAATGGTGGTGAGAGAGATGGTTGGTATTTGAACTGTGAATGGTGGTGAGAGAGGTGGTTGGTATTTGAACTGTGAATGGTGGTGAGAGAGATGGTTGTTATTTGAACTGTGAATGGTGGTGAGAGAGATGGTTGGTATTTGAACTGTGAATGGTGGTGAGAGAGATGGTTGGTATTTGAACTGTGAATGGTGGTGAGAGAGATGGTTGTTATTTGAACTGTGAATGGTGGTGAGAGAGGTGGTTGGTATTTGAACTGTGAATGGTGGTTGGTATTTGAACTGTGAATGGTGGTGAGAGAGATGGTTGTTTTTATTCTTTATAAGCAGAAATATTGAACTATAAAAAAGAAAGTCAACCCAAAATTTATTATACTGAAAAATAATTAAGTAAATAAAATAGGATGTATCTTCTTACTAGAATTGTTATATTTGAAGGTGAAATGGTAGAATTACTGTGTGCTCCTTAAAACACCCATAAATTAGGCTAGTAGTGAGTACTAATATCTTATTTAGCACTTCTCTTAACTATCCAAGACACCTGAATACTTGAAATACTAAAGCTCATTGACACAAGTTATTGTTATTTAATTGTAAGAATTTTGACACTATCTAGTTGGCTATAAAGATAAACTTTCAAGAGAATTTCCTTTTTGTTTTTGTGTTTAGCTACCACATAGTACTAACATTTAATAAAGTCAACTCATACTGCCTGGTTACTTTCTTTATCCGGCACCTCTCAATCCCCGTAGGTGCCGGATAACCAGGATTCTACTGTATATAGTGCTGGTAATTTGTCATCCGTGAGCAAAATGTCATCCCACTTGTGAAGTCATGTGCATCATGCAACCTCTTCATATGGTTGCTACATCTCCAACAATCTTTCCTCAGTTTTCTTTATTTACTCATTACCGAGAAACCACGTGGTGGTACTCTTTAATTAAAGTTGGCACAAGTTTCAAGGATTATAGGACTTGAGGATTCACTTTTGAGTGGTAAAAAAAAAAGTTCAAATGTTGAATACTGTATTGATCGGGACATACTTTTGTGCAGAAATACTTGTTTTTTTATGTTTGGCAATCACCTTCCTCTCACATGCCTCACTTGGTTAAATAGTTTATTTATTAGTTATAGCAGTTGTTGGCTAATTATTTTGCTATAGTACATACATTCTATGGTGTATGAAGTCACACTTTCATATTTTCCCCGAGAGAAATGGTCTAAATGTTATTTTTTTTTTGTTCTTTAGGGTGAACTTCCCACAACAGATGATACAAGCCTTGCAGAGATGGACAGATTGTGCAAGTACATTTACGTACGGGATAACACAGATCGTCTGCGCACACGTGCAGTATTGTGCCACATTTACCACATGTCTCTCCATGACAAATGGTATGAGGCACGTGACCTTATGCTCATGGCTCATCTGCAGGTAAGTTAAGTAAATGTTTATATAAAGGTCAATATTAACCATTTTCTTATATTTTTAACTTCCTCTCTCCCACCTTTTTGTATTCAGTAATTATAAGAAAGGCTGTTTGGCCCCCAAATTATGCGCATGCAGTCATTAATATCTTGGATTAATTTGGTTTTGACATAATTTATACTGTATTTTTGTTGTTGTTGTTGATTACTAATTTAGGTCTGATTATGATGAGGTATTAAAAGAACGATGAATACCCGAGATGAAGCTCAAGACTGGTTCAAACTTTTGGCTGCCATAGCCATATATAATTAGGTTACTTCATTCAGGTTTAATGTTTCCACTCAGAGGTAAAAGTATAATACCATGCTCCTGCTGTGATCTTACTCCAACTAGGAATATGGTCTGTCATGGCTTTCCATTTAAATTTTATGATGAAAGTTATTGATATTTAAGTTCATTTGATAATAAAAGTTCTCTCTCAACAGGAAACCATCCATCACTCTGATTTGCCTACCCAAATTCTGTACAACCGCACGATGGTACAACTAGGATTGTGTGCGTTCCGCCATGGGAATATTAAGGAGGCACACAATGCTTTACTAGACATCCAATCTGGTGGAAGGGCCAAGGAGTTATTGGCTCAAGGATTACTGCCCCAGGTGTGTGTTTGTGTGTGAGGCTCTCACAATAAATTATTGCACTATGGCATTTTTATATAAAATCTCTTATTGTACAGTACAGTATTGTATTTTAGAAGAAAAAAATTATTGTTGAAGTGATGAATAAAGCTTTTGTTCTTCTGACTTCTAATATCAATCATGATACTGTACTGACTAAACATAATTGGTCCTGGTATACTTAAAATTAAGTTAGGATTATGAATTCTAAATGTCCTTAATTTTTACAGCGTCAACATGAGAGGACAACTGAACAGGAGAAGCAAGAGAAACAGCGACAGATTCCTTTCCATCAGCACATTAACCTTGAGGCAAGTAAAGTAGAATCACTTAAATTTGAATCATGCATTGATGGGGACCATTTTGCAAATTATGCAGTTACTGTATATCTACAGTTATACTCGTATATTTCGTGTATAATAAACCTCCATTTATTGTATGTGTGAGAGAGAGATTTATCATAGATCAATTTGATTTTTATACTTGATGTGAAGGTTTTCCTATCATGAAAACCATTTATTTTGGGGTAAAACCTTATATTATGTGAATGAAGCGATACACATTGTTTAGTTCCATGGATCTAAACCTCTATATATTTCACATAAGAAATTAACTGCTTATTTCTGTACCAAGATTTTTACCACAGATTACATTGAGTTCAAGGATTTGGTTCTATACAGCTCATTAGAATTTAACCCCACATGTAGATTAGAGTGTACAGTATTGTAAAAAATAATGTCATTGTTTACTTTCAACAGATGTTGGAATGTGTGTATCTAGTTTCTGCTATGCTCATTGAGATTCCCTATATGGCTGCTCATGAGTTTGATGCTCGCCGTCGCATGATTTCCAAGTCTTTCCATCATCAGTTGAAGAACTCTGAACGCCAGTCTTTGGTTGGACCACCCGAAAGCATGAGGGAGCATGTTGTTGCTGCCTCAAAAGCTATGCGCAATGGGAACTGGAAACAATGCAGGTAGGTTAGCTACTCATTACAAATACTAGTCCTTCATGTAGTGTAGAGAGTATTGTTATTATTAACAAAGATAGCTGTTGAGAGAGAAGATAATATATTAGAGTTATGTATCGATTAATGATTCATGTTTAAAGAAAAACACATTCTATATATGTACTATATTCGTATTATTGTGTGCTAAGGCAGATTTGCCTTGTGGTATACTGTACTGTATTTTGTAATCTTGAGCTATAATGTCTTAAACAAAAAAAACATTTTCTGCCCACCAGGAATTTGCTGTTGAATGACAAAATGAATGCAAAGGTATGGGATCTGTTCCATGAAGCTGACCGAGTGCGCAAAATGTTGGGAGGCAAGATCCAAGAGGAGAGCCTTCGCACTTATCTCTTCACGTACTCACATGTCTACGATTCTATCTCTCTCATCAAACTCTCTGATATGTTTGAACTTCCTCATAGCACAGTTCATGCAATCATCAGCAAGATGATAATAAATGAAGAAATTATGGTGAGTTGATGTGTATGTAATGTCTATGATTAAAGCAAAATTATGCTTTACAAACATATTCTACAGTACTATGGAGATTACCTTAAATTGGTGCTTGTAGCATTAAACTGATGGATGTAAAAGAAATTGTGGAAAGGAGTTAATAGATATGATTTTAAAGTTAATAGAAAGTAAAATAAAATCAGACATGAATGGAATACTTGACAGAAAGGGAATTACTTAATGTCACAAATGCTGTCAAGTGATGCGGGAGATCATGTTAAGAATATTTATAGTACTGCAGAACTGGATGCATATGAGGAGCTCCAGACCATGATTTGCTAAGTACCAAAATAGAAAATGGAGGGAAGTGCTCAGGTAGGAATGTGTGACATCCAATAGTCTTTTCAGAGGACTCACCCACATGTACATCTTCCCAATTGGGTCTCTGACTTACCCAGGGGACAGAGAGGTTGGGTAATACAGTGCAATACATTTCAGCAATATATGGCTCTTAGCAGGTTATGGTGCGGAGCTCCTCACATATCAACTTATAAAACTAGTCTGATGGAAAGGATGAACATTGTGATTTTTATATTTTTAGTTTGCTATTAAGGAAAGACTTTTTCTGACAACTCTTGTAATTAATGTCATCTTTATTTCTCCATGATTCATCATCAATTAGAACATGTGTATACTGTTGTTTTGCTTTATAGTTTTCAATAAGGGAAGTGGTTTCCTTATAGTAATTGCTGTTTCCTTCAGGCGTCTCTAGATGAACCAACCTCATGCTTGGTGATGCATCGTACCGAGCCTTCATCCCTGCAGTCGCTGTCCCTCCAGTTGGCTGATAAACTCTACAACTTGGTCGAGAACAATGAACGTGTTCTTGACCAGAAGCCCTTTTTCACCCGCGGCGTACAGGTAATGCCTTGTCACTTTTTTTTAGTGTTTGAAAGGCATTAACTGGTGTTGCTGCAAATGAGAAAATAGAGTGAAAGGCAATAAAATTTATACTGTATTATTATATTGGGTAAGCAGGATGCTGAGAATAATAACTAATGAAATAAGTTAGTGATGTGTAAGTGGAAAGAGTGTTATGAAGTGAGTGAATCTGCATCCACTCTGATGATGGACTTACTGAGACAATGTTATATTTATCAGTTGCTCATAATATTCTGCCCATATCCCTTAACTTACTGGTAATGTACGCTGCTTTTTCTGATACTGTATATTCTCTTTTACTGAACTTCTCTTTACCATGTGGTAGTCTTTCCCGCATATTTAACCTGTTCTTCTTGTGCATTATTTTGCTATATTCTTTATATTTCTAGTAATTCCATTTCCTTTCTTAACTGACACTTGTTTGCCTCTCTCTTATTGTGTTTCCTTGTGCTCTTGAACTACTTCCAAACTTCTTAAGCCTCTCCCTCTTTGCACCCATTTACATGTGTCCTTCAGCCATGCAGTATTCTCTTTCCTCAACACCTTGACTTTTATATCTTTCTCCTTCTCTAACTGTACTGTATATCTTTCATTATGGACTTTCTATTGAATATTCCCATAATTTAATAATACTGTAGCTGTTTTCCATGTTATATTTCCTATTCCTTTTTAGGGTGGTGGGTACCGTGACCGCCGGGAGAAAGGCAACTGGGGTGATCGTCGAGACCGCCGTGACAGAGACAACCAGAACATCCACCGCCGGGACCGTGACTGATTTCTGCCGGTAGGTGTTTGAGGTTTAGAGACGTGGTGAAAGTATATTGTACTTTACATTTGAAAATTTATGTTCTTATTTTCATCAATCTTGAGTATTATACAATAAGGTCACACTGAACATGTAACCAATGAATAAGTTATTATTTGATTTTATGAACAAAATTACGAGTGAACCACCTTGTATTATGATTTATGTCATTGGTTGGGAGGCTAGGTGGACTAGTGCACTCAGACTCAAAATCTGTACTTTTGAGGTGAAAGTCCATGGCAGGTCAATCTAGCCTGGCTAACCAGTGAGCCTAGACCGAGACAATCGGCCTTTAAATTGTGTCAAAAGAAATGCAAAATTGATGTTGATACTGAATGTAGTAGTGTAAAAAAAGAAAATGCTTAGTGTGGTTATTCAAACAGGAGTCACCATATTATGATATACGGTAAACTGCTGATATTCTTAATACTGTACCATATTTGCTTATGTATGAGATATAGATACCATGATTTATCATTAGAAGAAAATTTGAGAGAATAAACAGTACAGTGTGCTAATATTTATTCATTTTGATGGAAACAAACATCAATGACGCAGAAAAGAAAAAAGATTATTCTTTTGCCTCACGTATTAGAAACTTATAGGCAACAGTTTAATGCTTACTCAGAACTTCCAATGAATTCTTAGTGAAATGTGTAAGTATGAATTTAACTAGAAATTCTTATCATGAACAAATCAGTGTGTTCTCAGTGAATTTAAGTATCAGAAATAATAGTCAGTAATATTTTAGGTATTAGATAAGGGAAGGGTAGTTAAACATGCATCAACAGTTTTCTTATAATTAACCTTAATATTAATATATGTACTGTACTTACAAATTACACCAACTGGGTAGGCTGTGTCATGACAAGACACCATTCCTCCTCCAGGTACAGTATGGTCAAAAAGCACAAGAATTTAAAGGAGTAAATGGTAACAAATAGACACAAGAATAAGAGCACTGTGGTGGTTCCTTAGTATGGCCCTCCTAAAGTACTTAAGTCTCATACCTGATATCCCAAGTAAATGAGGCATAATGATAGTGGTTCACTAGTAATAGCATTTAAGTGATATAATAAAGTACATAGTATCACTGAGGCTGAAAGGGTCACTTAGATGAAAGTTAAGAATACATAAAGTTCACTTAACCATATGTGTTAGAGCATCTGAGGAAGAGTATTTCACACACAGGCTGTTGTAGAAGGGAGGAGGAAAGTAGAGCATCACTGAAAGTGAGTGGAGAGAGAGAGAGTGCGAGTGAGGGAATGCTTAAAGCTGTCCGGCAAGGGCCTTATGTGGGGTTGCATCATGGGAACAACTTGTGACGTCACACCGGAGAAACGTGATTTTGATTAGCTGATGCCTTCTGTTGTTATGCATTGGTGATATACTGTAGGTAGAGAGAGAGAGAGAGAGAGAGAAGGGGGAGGCGCCAGACTAGCAGGCGTCTTTGTGTCGGCAATGTTTTTCCCATGAACTGAACCTGTGAAGGGGAAACATGAGTGATCAGAGATCCCCCTCTCAATATAGGCAATATTCTATAATTCCTACTTATGTTTGCAGGTTGTGGCAGGAAGTGGTATGGTCAAGAGTATCATGTGAAGAAGAGGATTTGACCCTTGCTATGTCATCCACCTTCCTCCATTGTGTTTCTGTTAGAGGTGTTTTGGGGCCCACTCATTTGCTTTTGGAAGTTACTTGCACTTTATTTTCTTTTGGTTTTACTCATACTGTACTGTAATCTCTTGAAATGTTATTCATATTCTGTTTATTCTTGAAGAGAAAAGGTGAACTTTGGTTAATATTTGTATGGTCAGGATAAGTTGCAACCTCCATGTTCCAAATAATCCTAGCTTTTACAGTCATATACTGGTACTGTGATGGTACAGTTATGTGCTAAATTTTTTGATCATCTCAAATTTGCCATCAGTTACCTTCAACAAATGTGTGGGCCCCAAAATGCAAATGGTCAATCACAAACTGTATTCAGATTTAATTTCTGTGGAAGAATATTTCCCTTTAGTGTTTCATAATGGACTATATATAACATATTGGCAAGGTTTTATAATAAATATAATTGCTTGAAACTTGATTTTAAATCCCAAAGTAATATGAAAATCTGTTATGCCTAATCTGTGTAATCTTTGTGATGTGACACTCAAGTGATTACTATGAAATAGTATTGGTGCATGAAAGAAGAGGGAAATACGTAAAGAGGTTGACAGAAGTTAAAGAGCAGTATCCAAAGATACCAATGGAAAGGATGAAATAAGGGAAAATTACGAGGAGAGTAGATGCAGCAGGGTTATTCAGGATGAGGAACATGTCAAAAGAAGAGAAGGCTGGTGGAATGGGAAAGTGGAAAAGAAAAAAACATGCTATGATAGACAAAGTGTATAGGTATGTCAGACGATGTCATACAGCAGTGTTAGAGAGAAATGCTGCAGGTAAAGTTAAGACTGACATACAGGAGCTAAGAAGAAAAACGGTATTGTGTGCTACATAAAAATGATAATGGATTAGTAACTACTGTCTGTAGAAATAGAAAATTGGAATAGTGATAAATGTGAGGGATATGTTTGAGAAGAACGAAAGGATGAAATCAAAGCCTGGTCATTTTCATACACCAACAATACCCTCCCTTTCTGCCTTCACCAACAATAACCCTCCTTCCTACACCAACAATACCCTTCCTCCCTCCCTTCACCAACAATACCCTCCCTCCCTTTTACACCAACAATACCCTCCCTCCCTCCCTTTTACACCAACAATATCCTCCCTCCCTTCAGGCACCCCAGGGATCAACTGAACTTTAGGCACCCCAGGGATCAACTGAACTTTAGGCACCCCAGGGGTCAACTGAACTTTTGGCACCCCAGGGATCAATTGAACTTTAGGCACCCCAGGGATCAACTGAACTTAATTTTGGCGTAGTAGGTAGTAAATATTGCACCGATCATTATTTTGATTACCTCCTCCCCCGCCCAACAATCATAACGGAATTTTTTTTTTATCGAATAAATCACAAATAAAATACCAACCGACCAACAAAACAAAACCTAACCTAAGATGTGGGGGCATGAACAAAGGGGGGTCCAGGGGAGCTCCGCCCCCCCTGGTTAGGTTAGGTTTTGTTGGTTGACAAAATCCTTGAGCTGTACACATTTTTTTCTGTGTGAAATTAGTATTGGCATGATGAAAACTATAACAATCTTTTATGATACATGAGAAGAATACGGCGTCACGAAGCCATATTGACGCTCCTGGGCTCAGCTTGTCAACAGTAACTGAAAAAGTTACGAATTAGATTTCACCACGGTGATCCTTCCATAATAACATATTATCATCAACCCTGGTGCTCTAACAAATAATCTCAGCAGTAGTAAGGTCAACTATAACACACTGATCGTTGTAGGCAAACATATGCGACTTCTAGCCACTTATTCAAGGATGAATGAATACCGTCACTTCTCTACCTGTGATTTGTAGCAAAAATTTTCTGTCCACAATGGGCGAGGATAATTTTCTCACGGAACATATAGAGGTATTGGGCCCCTTGTCCCTACTTATAGTAGTTTAGGTATTCGTAATGGTCCTATGGTGCCCTTGCCAAGTACATAGTAAAGTGCTACCATGTATCATTGAGTGACGCTCAGAGACGGTAATGGGCCAATCACGATAAAAGTGTATATTAGGCATTTAACTCCGCTACAGCATTAAGAATTATTTGCTCTACATTATATTACTCTCAATGTCGCTAACGTAAGCTGTATCGAGTGCTCGAATATACTATGGGTGGGTGTAATATTTTTTTTAGTAAGTGTAATGGTCATCTGGGTATGTATGTACAGTACACACAATCATAAAAGTATCTTTACAATTTTGTGTTAGAAAATTATGAAAATGGGCGAAGGATTTTGAGTTTTGACAACCCTACCGAGACAACTGGAGTGCGGTGTTCATTTTGAAATTCTTTGGACTCCTCCGTAAATATACTTTTTTGATAGTTACTTATGTTTGTGCTGACATACGAGTGATGAACTGCTTCCCAAGAATGTTTATACCGAGTGTGACGCTGATACTTGTACGCGATGCACTTGGTGCGGTTTGAATTTATTGAGTACAAATTCATGCATTACGTGTATACAAATAATATATAAAGCATCAGTTATACTTACAGTAATTCCTATGTGATCCTCGTATGTATTACTACTTCCAATAATAATAAATAATAATAATAATATGACTACTGTAATACAAAGACTATTACTACTATTAACAACTCCTACTACTGTAAATGACAACAGCCAAGGGCGGATTAAGAATGACTCGGATTAAGAATGATCCGTGTTCACCTCAGTACACACACCTAACAACAAAATAATGAAGAAAAATAAGATATTAACGTATGTACCATTTCGAGTATTTTTTTCATTTTGATGATTATTAATATCGACTAAGCCACAAGTCAAATATAATAGCTGAGTGATAGACGTTAATATAATGATTCACTGCTAACTGCCTCGATGACGTCAAAATTTGCCCCTCTTACTTTTCCTTGACGTCATCAATCATCACAAAGAACCAATCAGGATATTATTATTTTTTTTACTAATGTCTCGTTACTGAGGCCTGAGGGACCAAAGGGCGCAGTGTACTTAATTTACATTTTTCCTTCACACGCACTACTGAACCTTTTAACACAGAATTATAATTTGTTAAGTGTTTTTTGGTGCTGGCCGAGAAAACCGACTGTCCATTGACTTCTGTTCGTGTCTGTACTGATGAACAACAACGTACTGTAATAAATAGTAACGCTGTTTCAATAGTAGTTAATCGAGCCTCGAGAATGTTTTTAAGTCGGTACTGCGGTCGTCAATCAGTATGACTTAAAAGCAATTAATGCTCATCTTACTTAATATTCCTACTATAAATAAAAACTGATTTAGGCGTATTCTTAAGTGATATTTTACTTATAATATTTTGTACTTTTATTTATCTACGGACCTCAGAATACACAAGCTGTAGGACCAAATACCTTTCACTCGGAATCATAAAATACTCCCTTAGCACGAGAACCTGTTGTTACTAAGGTAGACTTTATTGCCCCTTATATAAAAGTAAAGTATGTTAGGCGACAGCTCATACAATAGACACTCATAAAATCTGCGTCTTATTTATATACTGCGAATCGTTTCAGCTGATTGTTATTTATTTACATCGAGTCCCACACCTACTTTAATTACACTGTAAACCGACTTGAAAATGTGACCTTACACTCCAAGGCTTACAGCCAATGCATTTATACTAAGAGGTATATAATCAGAGCATGGTATTTAACCTTAATAACTGCAGAATTAACCCGTGTGTAGTGTTATAAAAGGGTTTCTACTATTCTCACAGTATAATGGAGCCTGGGGGGCGAAAATTTAATAACAATAATAATAATTAGTTCGTAGTAAATAACATTTATAATAAAAAATAAAAAATTAAAAATAAAATAATAAAAATAACAAAACTACTACTACCACTAACAATAATAATAATAATAATAAAGAACCACAAAGAAATACAAAGTGAAAAAAAGAAGATCAATAGTGAGAAACAATATACCGTATGTATGTTGTGTTGTCAAAGTAAAAGAAACAATTGAGACCCTGCAATTGTGTGTAAATGAGGCATAAAGTCAGATCAGCAACCTAGGACTTGGTCACAATTTTCGTGATGCCATATGGCAGCAGGGTCTACCATTAGACAACACATTATGCTTCCAATATCTTCCCAGGCGGTAGTACCTCCCTGTTTGGTAGCTGCTTAGCCAAAGGCTGTAATTGACTATTTTTAATTAGAAGATTGAGAGCCAAGAGTTTACACCTCAATGACCAACCACCTTTGTTTTGTTCAAGTAGTTATGTTTATAGCTGGTGCTTTTAGCTGACTTAATAATCATCCACCTCTTCCGACCCCTGACTGCAAAATGTAAACGTTTCTTTTAATCGCGCGCGGGGAATATTTGGAAGTGATGCCTAGAGTAAACATTGACCAATTCTTGATTATTATTTTTAGTTATTTAACTTTATCCTGAGAACACGTAAAATTACCTACAAATGCATACACCCGCCAACACACATGTCACCCTCCCACACACAAACACTTACACCCCACACACACACACTAATACAAACACCCGCACACAAACACATATACACACCCCTCCACATACTACCACTGTTACGCCGTCTCTTAATTTACTTAAATATCCAGGTTCTAGGCGTAACCAAACAAAAAGTGAAGTAAATTAAAAGAGAATAAAAATAAATAAAGTAAACCTTTAAGAATTTAATTGATTAAATATTAACACAATAAAGAGCCTCGTAGGCTGTCACAACAAATTGATTCACCATCGAAACTTTTAAGACACAAATGATACAAAACATCGAAACATCAAAAGAATAAAAATAAAGCATTGGATTACGTTAACACTGCATAAACATATAAAAACTATCACTGAAATTAACTAACGTGAAACACTGAATTACTTGAATACAACTAAGCAAATACTGATGGACACAAACAGACACATAAATAGGTACTCACATAGATATACCACATTGGTGGCGACAGGAACAACACAAATAAATTAAGTATAAGTAACAAGTGTTACTCAAAGGATGTTGACTGTATGACAAGAGGACTGAACTGACTCAAGTCAGTTGGTGGGTCCTATATATAAGGTCGGCTCCCGCCACGCGACCCGCCGGTGGGTCGTTTAACGATGCAGATAGTCGTTAGAGAACAGAGAATGCTGGTTACAATACAATATAAAGAAATAAGATGGGCTTGAACAAATAATGACAGTTAAAACCTTAACAGCACAGGGTAAGGTGACTAGAATATATAATAGTAAATTTAACACATCATTACAGGAATAATATGGAACATGGGAGTATGTTATATATAAAAAAATAGAAAAAATACGACACGGTCGTAACACCACATACACACCCCAACACAAACACATACACCAACCTTCCACACATATCTCTCCCACACACAAAACACATACACTAACCCCCACCCCCCACAC